CGTTGCAAATGCTGGCGACGATGCTAACGGAGTCGACAACATGCGTTGTTATGGCGTTGATTCAATTTTGTCACTTTCAATATATAAATGATTTTAAGTTTCATCTTCTACTCGAGATTATACTAGACGTAGACCAGCAGGTTCAGCATAGTATGCAGCTGTGTGTTTGATAAAGCATAGAAATTTGTCTATGTTACATGTTCAACATCTTCTTCCTTCATCATAGCATGAAAGAAGAGCACCCCACGACGCCCACCCCTACAGCCTGATTGAACCTTCCTCTAATCTTGGGACTTCGCCTCCTTAGGACGTAATTTAGACAGCATGCTCCAAGAGTACCCGTCTGCTCGCGAACTTCTTCATCTGAAGATGAATTTGCTGAACCCGCTCTCTCTTTTGGTCGAAGAAAAATACGAAATGTTGGTGCAGCTGCTGTTGAAAAAAGCGGGCCCGAAGCGTGTGGAAGTTGTTAGACAGCACCTAGCAAAATCGCTTCCGAGCGATAGGAGGAGAAGTGTGGTGCTGGGGATGGGTAAGCAAAAAGAACATATGAAGACGGGCGGCAACAAAAATGGCCATATTACGGAGCCTCCGCCAAAGCAGGAATATCAGAGACAACAAGCTGATGCTCATCTTGACTTGCTCCAACTTGAAGAGGCTCAGCGGCGTCGAAGTTTGGCCTCACTCATAGGCCCTGCTATAACGGCCCAGTGGCTAGGGACAGAGGTGTGGGCACCGTCGTGTCCAGGGATCGATCCACGGAACTACAGGGTACAGTTCTTTTACTTTTGATTTTTGTTCTCCTGGCTTCAAAATACAAAATCATTAATTAAGTATACTCTTCCTTGTAAGTACTTCAAAAATTCATTTTCTTCTAGCTTGCCGCAGTAACTCCTCTTCCTAACCACATTACTACAGCAGGATGAAGCCTCTTGGCAGTCTTTTTCGGCACGTGTCGACACAACAAATTTGCTGATCATGCAGTCGCTCGCGCAACTTACTGGTAGATGGGAACTACAGGGTGAGCGTGGAGTGCAGAATATAGAGAACTTCATTGAAAATTTGGGCAGACTTCTTGCAACTTCGGAAATAACTTCATCTACTTTCTCCCAACAAGGAGCAGTAGTACAGCCGCATGATCAACAGGCCGTGGATTCGCACGTAGAAGTATCAGCACGATTGCAGCAAGCATCCAATGCGAAGTCGAGTCGTGTCATTGGAGGAACCAGTGACGCGGCTAGTCCTTATGGACAGGCAAAAGCGAACGCTTTTGCGATCCTATACGGAGTGTCTGAAGCGTCTGAGAGCAGTCCGGAGTTTCAGTCACTCGGTGGAGACGAGAAGTTAGCAGTTTTTTGGAAAAAACTTGGAGAAGTTGCTTCGCACATCCCATCGCAAGAACAAGACCCCGATGAATCGGTTTCCGAGGCTGAACAAGTCGCATACGAAAAGTTGGGCAATCTTTTAGGAGGTGATCTGGATTTCAGCATGGATCTGTCTCCCTTTGGGGGAGAGCAGCTGCATAAAATGATATCTCATGCCTTAAAAACAAGTGGTATCGATTGGGCCGCATTCCTCGACTTTATCGAAAATAAGAGACCCCCTTTCATGATTGCACAACAAGAATCTCTTCTTCTGAGAGGACAACAACAGGTGAGTAGCCACAGCACTCACAGCAAGGATCAACATCTGCTGAAGAATAACAATACGGAGAATTATAAGATGAATAAAGGTGGTGGACGTGGACGAGAGGACCTGAAGAGGAGCCAAACATCGATAGAGGAGTTGGCTTATTTCATCAACGTCCGATACGAAACTGACGTAACCTATATGGAACAGATGCATACGCATGCAAATGCAAATAGTAGCACTGCTGGTACGACTGGCGCAAGTATGGCAGAGGTTTTTGCTGGAGCGTGGCCATCTGGTGACGACCGTCAGGAATCACAATCAGAAGACCAAGACACACGGAAAAAAGTTGCTACCGAGCGGTATGTGGAGCACGTGCGTAAAGAAATGTGTAATTCTGTAGGAGGCGGTCCTCGTACAGGCTCAGGAGTCTCCGGAGTAGGTGTGGGAACACAGAACCGATTGAATACACCAGGATCCAAGACGCTTTTCGCCATAGGCATTGGGGAATTGTTTTTGTTCGTCGCAGAAAAGCTGAAGAGTATGAAGGAGTCTAAGGTGGACAATCTGGTACCACACAACTCGACGGAGAAAAAAGGAAAGGCCACGAAGAACATCTTGACAGCGGGGGGAATGAACTCCAAGAAAAGTGAACAACGACTACATGATCAAGAGGGTCAAGATGATGTTACAACTCAAAAAGAACATCTGGATCTGGATGTGAGCACTAAAAACATCATCCATTTTGCCAAGGTCATTTTCCCAGCCGTCCAGACTTTCCTTCAGATGCTTCTACTTTTGAGCGATGGCGTGCGCAGGGATGCTTTCTTAGGAATGCGAGACGTGTGGGCAGCTGGGAATGAGCATGTTGCCTTATTAGTTCTGTCGATGTATCAAAACCCTAAACCCGAGTCGAAATCAAAGGACTCCTTCGCCTTAGAGGTAGATCAAGATGCCTATAGAGAGATCGCCCTAAAACGCGTCCTCCACGGAGTACATGTTTCGAGAGCACTTGATCGCGAAAAGGGCACGCTGGTGAAGTACAAATTGGGTAGTCACATTTTCTACCAGCCTCCAAGGCTAACTGCGAATGCAGTGAGTGGGAGCAATGCAGATGTAGCAGTACCTCCAACTACAGATGAAGAAGTACTAGGGGCGCTAGGGGCTTCTGGAAATGGAGCGAGTGCAGTAGAGGCACAAGAAGTATCATTTACTAGAAAACGGAAGACACCACCAGCACCAGTGCCAGAGGAGATTAAAGATGAGAAGCCTGCTGTACTAGAAGATCTAGAAGTTGCACCTCCGGTTCTTGAACAAAACGATACTCCTACTATGTCGCCGGAGGTATCATCTACTCCACCTGGTGCTGTATCTTCAGCTGCAAAAGAACTACAAGTGGCTATGGACTGCTCTCCCAAACAGCAGGAGGAAGCTCCAGTTTTCTACGTGGTCGAAATTTCTAATACCCTAAAGATGGACTACGATAGTATTGCGATAGACACCTCTCAGACGAACAGACCCGATGGGGTGAAGATAGTGCAACATCATAGATTTGAGCAAGTCGAAGCGAGCGACTTCAAGTACCTTCCGGCTGTGGGGCTCCGTGGGATCCTACGGTCCGTAGACCTCGAAAAGGGAATCGCAACTATCGTGCCACTTGATGACGTCGAAAGTGGCGGCGCCTCTTTGCGCTTCGCTTACGCACACGAGTTCCCCCTTCACCGTCTCGAGCACGGAATCAACGTTCACCAGCACCGTGACGCTGACAAAAAGCAGTCTATCAGCCTTGTAGTTTCTAAGGAGCGAGAAGCCCGGGCTCAAGGAGTTAGAACCGGAGTCAAGGTCGATCCTGCAACAGGTTTTGTCCTCTCTATGGACGTACCGACATCATCGATTCGAATGATAGGCGACACGAAGAATGGGTACACGATTGGGGAAAGAGACGCATTCACTCGCTGGGATACAGCGGGATTTCCCCGTGTCGGGATTAGAAAGCTACAGGATGGGAAGACAGTTACGGGTGGAGATTTTTATTTTGACAGACTGGAATGAAGTATCAAAGAAAAGCGTTCGCAGTTGAACATTTGTCCGTAGCTCCTCCTAGATAGTTAGAACAATCATATTATATGAGCAGGTTTCATAACTACACGCAGCTTCCAAGTAAGTTAAGGCAACATGTTCGAAAAAATTTTCTCTAATCCAAAGTCCCCTGTGTTACGCGCACTAGCTAATGACCTTGCCGACATGGTTGCTGAGGAGCAAAAGGAACTCGAAGTCGGCGCCATAGATGCAATCCAGAAAAAAGCTGAGGCTGTTTTCGGACTATCGTTAAGGTTAGCTTTTATCCATCTTTCTTGGCATCTCGGCAAGCTTTCCCCTTGTATTTCTTGGGAAAGGGGTCGAGATGAGGGGGCCAAGATGAATAAACGCTGACCCTATTATCAAATACTCCTGAACAAACGGCTGAAGCAACTCCTACCATACCATTCAGTCGTGAAGATAAGGTTCAAGCTTTTCTGCTGCGTAAGTGGCGAACAAGTGTACTAAAAGCGATGACCTTGATGTTGCCTAATAGCAGTCGGGGTCCTGTCCTTGTGCCAGCAGTGTCGTTGCCCTTCAAGAATGACTCTGACGAAAAATTACGGGTAGGTCTCAGGTGTTTCTGTTACGACCGTTTGTGATGCCTCTCTCCCTCCAAGGGAGTAGAAAATGAAAAGCACAAGAACGAACGGGGAACAGAAACACCAAAAGCGTACCCCCGCTAAAAAAAGAAGAAGAAGGAGAGGAGGATGAAGAAGGAGAATGGAATTACCTCATTCGACTCTTTTACACTAAGGCAAAGGCTCATGTGGATACTTCCATGAAATAGAAAAATATTTCAACCTATTTTCTTCACCTCTTTTTTAGTACCGCCTCCTCGTGCAAATCTTGTCGACGACAAAGCAAGGAAGAGGCGTCACCAATGAATACGTTTCCACTTCTCTTACAACTGTCACTATCTCGACCATTCCTAGTACGTTTCCAGTTCCACCCTCACAACTGTCACTATCTCAACCTTTTGTTTTTTGAGCCTAATAAATACCAGTTAGCATCAAGGCAAGAGCAAGTAAGTACATATTACTCATTCTAATCGCACTCAGCCAGATGGTAGGGTGCATAGCCGTTTGATTACAGCTAGGGCGTCCGACGGATTCTGGGATGTTCCGGAAGACGAGTTTGTCCAGCAAACAAAAGAGGAAACGCCCCACACCGCACAGGAAGATCGTATTATCAATGCTGCGCTGGCTATCAGTGACCGCAGCACTCCTTCATCTTCTTCGAGTATCGCAACTACAACTCTTGATCTTCTTGCCGATGCTAAGAAAGATGTAGTACTGCAGAAAAAGTACGGCTCTGAAGTGTTTTCCTCGGCTAAGGCACTAGTGCACAGACTGAAGAAGTGGAATGCCGCTAAGTACGGCTATGAAATCCGTATTCCTGTCGCGGCTGAGAGTGCGGCGCACTTCTTTTCGGCAGCAACTGGTAGGGATTTGAAGTTGCCTCCTCAAAAGGGAATACCGACAGTGCACGATAAAGACGCGAAACTGCAGAAGCAATATCTCTGGGTGCTGGAGACACAAAAAGAGGACACTGAGAGTGCTGTTGTTAGTTAAGACGCCAAAGGCTTGATGTAGTTCCCTATTTTATACTATAATTATCTATATTATAAACCAAAACTTATTTTGAATGCTAAACAGGAGTCAATTTACGGCTTGAGATGTACGCAAATCATGGCAAAGATGTACGGGTGAGATGTATACGTCTGAGATATATATCACGAGACATATATCTTATACGTAAATCACGGGAAAGATGTACTCTTGAGATGTACTCACACCGGGGCGATTCATAGTAGGTTTCCAAAATTCCGCTTTTTTGAGATGTACGGAAATCATGGGAAAGATGTACGGGCTAGATGTATACATCTCGCGCCGTAAAAATGCCGCGTTTTTGAGTACAACTTTCCCGCGATTCTGCTCCTGCTAAGGCTTTCGGCAGTACCTCAAAACCCTGAACCAACAGCACAAGCCAAGGACTGCGCTGCATGGACAAAAATAAACGAAGAGCGAAGCGCCCCAGCCTGGGGCCAGTCATCTCATGAAGGAAATCCGCTGCGTCTGCGTATGTGCTACAAAAAGGACCCACATGCAAGCAAAGAAATACAAACAGAGGCAAGCACCCAGCAGCTATACGCTGAGCAAGTTAGCACCTGGGTGCTTTTTGGGTCAGGCGCCTGAGCTGGCTCAAAGGGTCAGACCTTTCAAGCAGGTCAAAAGTAGACAGCGACTTCATAAAGCTGCGCGCTTTGGATAAGGACTTCGAGCTGACTCAAAGGGTGGGGCCGCTCAAGCACGTCAAAAGTAGCCAGCAACTTCATAAAGCTGCGCCTTTTGGATAAGAAGTCTGAGCTGGCTCAAACTAAAACGCTGGGACCTTTTAAGCACCTCGAAAGCGGACAGCAATCCCATAAGTTTGCGCTTTTAGGATAAGGAGTCTGAGCGGGCTCAAAGGGTGGGACCTTTCAAGCAGATCAAAAGTAGACAGCAATCTCATAAAGTTGTGCTTTTTGGATAAGAGGTCTGAGCTGGCTCAAAGGGTGAGACCTTTCAAGCAGGTCAAAAGTAGGCAGCAATCTCATTGAGTTGTGCTTTTTGGATAAGGAGCCTGAGCGACGTCAAAGGGTGCGACCTTTCAAGCAGCTCAAAAGCAGACAGCAACGGCATAGAGTTGCGCTCTTTGGGTAACAGGTCTGAGCTAAGTCAAAGGGCGACACCTTTCAAGCAGCTCAAAAGGAGGCAGCAACTTCATGGCGTTGCGCTCTTTGGATAAGGGGCCTGAGCTGGGTCAAAGGGTGGGACCTTTCAAGCAGGTCAAAAATAGACAGGAAACGCATAAAGCCACGCGCTTTGCATAAGAGGCTGGAGCAGAGTGAAAAGGTGGGACCCTTCAAGCAGGCCAAAAGTAGACGACAGCAATCGCATAAAGCTGCGCGCTTCGGATAGGATGCCTGAGTGGCCTGAGCTGGGTCAAAAGGTGGGACCTTTCAAGCAGGTCAAAAGTGGGCAGCAATTTCCTAGAGTTGCGCTCTTTGAGTATGGCGCCTGACTTGACTGAGTGAAAGCGTGGGACCTTACGAGCAGGCCAAAAGTAGGCAGCAGCTTCATGAAGTAGATTGCGCTTTTTGACCAAGGAGCTTGAGCAAAGAAAGGCAAAAGGCGGGACCTCTCAAGCAAGCCAAGCCAAAAGCAGACAGCAGCCCCATGGCGTTGCGCTTTTTGGATAGGATGCCCGAGCTTGGTCAAAAGGTGGGACCTTTCAAGCAAGTCAAAAGTGGGCAGCAATTCCATAAAGCTGCGCGCCTTGAATAACCAAGCTGGCCAGATCTGGGCCAAAGAGCGAGACCTTTCCAGCAGGTCAAAAGTGGGCAGCAATTTCATAGAGTTGCGCCCTTTGATTGTGGAAACCTCTGAGTGAGCTGACTGAAAGGCTGGGACCTTTCAAGCAGGTCAAAAGTAGAGAGCAATATCATACAGCTGCGCTTTTTGGGTGGGAGGTTTGAGCAGAGTCAAAAGCTGAGACCTTTCAAGCAGGTCACTCAAAAGTAGGCAGCAACTTCATAAAGCTGCGCCTTTTGGGTAGGGTGCCTGCGCTGGGTCAGAGGGTGAGACCTTCCCAGCAAGTCAAAAGGGCCAGCAGCTTCACAGCGTTGCGCCGTTTGGGTGAGGGTCTTGAACTGGGCCAAAGGGTGGGACCTCTTAAGCAGCTCACAAGTAGGCACGCAGCAACTTCATCGCGCTGCGCTTTTTGGATCAGAAAAGAATGGACGCAAAGGGCAAGGCCTCTCGCATAAGCCATAAGTAACCAGCAAGCCCATAGGCTTGGGCCTGCTTTCTGATCAGAAAGCTCAAGCGGCTCACAGATTGCATCGCCCAAGCACATGAAAGCCGCACAGCACTGCTCGCGTGGCGTTGTTCTTGTTCACTTAGATCAAAGCCTTGAGATGACGCACGCCCACACCTCTCGAGAAAGCCAGAAGCAGATAGGGAAGCTAAGCGATAGAGCGCAACCCGCCGTAAGCTTGGGAGGGTAAATGGCTCACAGAGAGCAAACGCGAAGCAGCTGAAACGTAGGCAGCAACGTGACACCATAAAGCTACGTGATTTGGATGGAAAACCCAAAACGGCGCAAAGAGTAAAACCCCGCAAACAGGCCGAGAGTAGAACGGGGCCGCCCCCTAGTTCTCTCCACGGAAAAGATCCACGGTAGACGTTCTCATGAGGAGCGGAGTCGGGCGTAGTGCTTCGCCCACTATGCGGAGAACCGAAAGCGACAAGCCTGGGGCCCCCCTCGTGACACTGCCATGCCAGCCGGAGATGCAACACACTCCAAGAGTAGGGGACCCACGCCCAAAACCTGGGCCAGGGGGCGCGCGAGGTTCTCACGGTGAGCGGAGTCGACTGCAGTGCTTCGCCCAGCCACTACGCTGAGAACCGAAAACAGCAGGCCTGGAGTGATCTGCTCAAGGATTTGACTCTCGGCGTATGTATTTGGTTACCCGTTTGCCTCATTCGTTCGAAGTAGTTCCTTTTGGGCGTTTCGGGTGCTGCCAGGGTGGGGGTTTATGTAGCACGTAGTAGCTTGTAGCGCGGAGCTGCTTTTCTTATTCCATAGCCCGCCACTCTTTACGTAATTCGTAGCACGCCGGAAGGCCGTATGGATTTTATGTAACTCGTAGCATTTGCCAGACCCTTCCGCCCTGCCCCGGCGTGTGTACACGCCGGGGGCACGTGGGCGGTAAATATATATAAGTGTACTCATAAGTTCATCATCTTCCCCAGAAGTTGATAGGCAGAAACGCATCTTTTGGTTGTGGGATACCGTAATGGCTGCGTTGTAGGATGCCGTAATCGCTGTAAAATAGTACCGAGAAACTGATTGTTTTCGAACTAATAGAGGTTGCCACGACCAGTATCCTTTCCCTTTAATAAAAGATGAGTTTCTATTTTCTTGGATTCTTTTCGGACAATAGTACTATTTCAATTCGGACAGTAGTGCTGCAGCTCTCTAACTCGCGATCGCGGGAAATGTGCCTTATCCTCCTTATCCGCGTCTCAGACTTAACGACAAGGATGACCCCAGTGTCATCGAAACGAATAAAGGGAGTTTGATGCGAGTCAGCAAAGACGCACTGTTACGGTGGCCAGTCGTGTAGTGAGAAAGTAGCTTCATAATTTGCATCGCCCACCTGAAAAATGTGGTAAAGAGTCCCATCGACAGGTTCGGAACACTGATCTGGGCATCCTACCGTAGTACCTCAAAAATGCAGGAAAGAACTCTTGGGGCCTCGTTTCCACCACCACCAAGGTGGTCGAAATTCTCCATATCATGTATGTTTATCACGACTCATCTTCTAATCCCCGCGATCGTTTCCGTCAGTTGTCAAGCCGAATGGCAGTGCCGAGAAATTGAGCGGAGGTTTCTGGAGAAAAAAGTAGATTTTAATATCGCGGATGATATGGATAAAAGAGAACTCAAGTTCTTTGACGATTTACGAAAACTCAAGGAAAAAGAAGCCGAAAGACGTCAGCAACTACGAGGCAACGAGGTTGAAGAAAGACTACTAGATGCGCATTTGGCAAGCTTACCTCAGTTCTCGCAGTCGGGAATAACGAGGTTGACTTTTCGTCAAGATCATGTTGGACTTGGTCAAGCTCGACCATTGCGTACTTTAACCCTACGTGGCGCGGCAGTTCAGTACGTCAAAGGAATGAAGCAGGGCCATCAAGGGAAGCACAGTGGTAAAGGAGCTCGAACTTTGACCACTAATACTAAGGGCTTCCGCACTACATTCTTCACTACCGTTCTGGACTTGCTTTCTAGTAGGAAAGAAGTCGCGCATGTAGTTTTGAAGAATGCAATGCTGCAACCTCTAATAATATCATTAAGAAGCGTGTCCAGATGGAGCTTGCATTCCTCAGAAATATTGCCACGGATCCGGAGCTGAACCAGAGTAAAGGTAAAGAACTGGTCTTGGCCCTGAGTGCTGCGCCAGGGCAACGCACGAATGACTTTGTTTTTGAGAAAGGCTCTACGGGCATTAGTAAGGGTGCCACCAGGGATACATACATACATCCAACATCTTCGCCTTCTTTAGAAAGAGGGACATCTAGTACTCCTATTGCAGAGCCAAGGGGAAGATCTCCTATACCAAAGGAGGCTCCTACCGCGCCGTCACCGTCAGAGGAACTAAGCAAGTCTCCATCAAATACTTCTAAAGCAGGAAGACCAACCAGCAAAAGCATTAAACCAACGCCACCTGTGGACGAGGATGATCCCTTCCTCCTCCTGGATGCTCATAATACGACACCGAAAGAAATGCCGACTCCGACTCCGACTGTGGAAGAAAAACCGAAAGGAGATGCTCAGAAACAGGAGGACGCGCAAAAGGAATACGCTCAACAAGATGGAAGCGTAGTTGTTCCGATGGAAACGAAAACTACAACAACGGAGAGGAAACAGCCTATGGAGGAGGGTGACGTCACAGACACAAGAATCACAGAAATGGTATTAGAGGATCTAGGGTTTGGTGTTAGGGTACGAGGACAAGAAAAAGACGAAGTTCTACTTGAAGAAGGTGAAGGACATCCCATGGCAGTACAGAAAACTACAACCACGGAACAAGATGTCACTATGGCGGAAGAAGAAGTAGTTGAACGAACTGATGTCAGCATGGTGGATACGGAGTCAGCGATGAATGATGTGAAGGATGTAGTTGCTTCTCTGGCAGTCGAAGATGCTGATCAAGAAGAAAGCACTGCAGCTGCCCCTCTTAAAGTAGCAGAGGCAACAAACGTCGCTGGTGCAGACCCACAAACTACTAAGCAAAGCACCTCCTCGTCTGCAGTGACGAAGCGACGCAACTACGAGGCTTTGGTTAAGCATTTTGCTGCTCGAGGAGTCCCACGACCCCAACAAGACGAAGCAACCGTTCGACTCGTTCTGCCTCTGTTGGTCGAATCCTTAGCTCCAGATGAATCCTTAGTAACAGGAGTCTCTTCAACACGCAGTGCCACGGGAGATTCTTCTAAAGAGATGCTGATGCAGATTTTCCGTACTCATGATAGCATTTCGTTTGACTTTGCAATGAATGGTTTTTATCGCGGCTTGTCTGGGCTTTGTATTCTTCTCTCTCAAATTTATTGGCAAACGCAGGCATGGTCTATGCAGTAAGAGCGTCCCATTAACATTAGCACTGGACAACTTCTGCAAACGCATAAAAATATGGTACAAATATATAGAAGTGATGACTCATTTTCGAGGCTCATTCTCAAACTCACAATACAGGTCGAAGCTTTGCGGGTACGCGATATGTGGACGTCCGCGAACGACTGGCCCAGAAGATTGCTCAAAGTTATGACATTGAAAAGTCCACTGTTGATATGTTTTTTAGTTACTCAAAAGTCTTCTGAATTTTATAAGTACTTTCAAAAAGGGAGAAGCGCTAACCTATGATCTCTGCTGCTGGTCTGACTTCTGCAGCTTATCAACTTGCCATGGCCGTGGCCGTGCTTTCCTTTGTTCTCCTTTCAAACTTGTTAGCCCATATCCTCTCCTTCTTCTAACATCCTGATGTTAGCGCAGGATCTCCTTTACCCGTTTTCCTAGAATTGGCGGGACAGATTCAAGCAACGTGGCTAGCCGAGACAGCGACAGAGCCTTACCGCTCAGTGCTCACCGCACTCGGAATTATTTTACTACCATAAGCTGGGTAACGGCGTTCGTGTTGTTTGGTATCTATAGAAATGGTATCTATAGAAATAGATTTATATGGAAGATGAATTGGACTATATGCAGATAGGCATCGAGTATTTGAGTGATACGCGATATCTTCATGCTCATGGATTTATAAGGAATGAAATGTAACTATGCAATGACACAGACGCAGATATGGATGAGAGGGGATTTCGAAGGTATTTCTTGCATGCATTTAGACATAGATATGTTGAAAACTTGTTTTGATATTTCGTTTTTTGCACCGCACGCAGTAGCTAGCTAATCTCGCTAGTAACAAGGATAGGGTAACGTTTTGAAAATAGAGTTTCGATTTTTTTGTTTCGGATATAGTTTGCGCTGTATTCGTGAGTTCTTAAGAATAGTCACTTGAGATGCACGCATTACATGTCTTAAGAGTCATCTGTGGTAGAAGTTGACATCACAGTTCGAAAACTCAAAATAAGCGAGTTCCTGACTGAAATAAGGGAGGTAGCTTAACATCAAGGCTACTCTTCCTCCTCGTCAGTATCTCGGTTATTCTGATCAGTTACTTGCTTATTTCAGTTTTTCGAATATATATATAGAACCCGCATGCACTTGAAGGAAATCACCAGGATCTGGGTTTTTCATGTTAGAAGTTATTGTACTACAAACCTCTATGAGGGAGATTATTTTCATGCATTTTTTGGCGCGGAAACTCGTGATGATGAAATACAAATAGACGAGGAAAATTGAAGTTCCATGGCTGCAGCACTATCTTCATTCGATTTTGTTCTTCAACAAGCAATGACGAGTGCGTTGTATTGAGGCAGCGAGAGAGAGAGCAGCAGATAGGCACGGGCTGCAAACACAGGTTGGCAATCATGAGAGAGTTAGCAACAAAAAATTACGATTGATTCCTCAAAACAGCAACAGCCTCTGACAACCATGCGAGCGTCTAGTTGTTTCCCTTTCTACTTCCACCAAACACGACGACTCCCTGCTTTGAAGCATTGCCTTTGTTTTTCTTTATTTGACGAAGCAAAAATTCACATTGTCACGAACCTAAGCAAAGTTTTGGACTTATCTCTCACCTAAAGTAGTGACTAGTTCTCGGCTTGACTTATATTTTTTCAGAATGCCAGAAGGTGTTGAAGTCGACGCCTGCGAGACAGGCAACTGAGGCCCAAGAGCTGATGAGCTGTTTCCGGAGGCAGGTACTTTCAAAATAAAGATGTCTCAATTTGATGTAACGAATTCTCTGAACTACACTAAGAGGCCGCCCATCCTATCAAAGTATCCTCAAGTCCAGTAATAAATCGTCTCAAAAAATTGCAATTCTCATGTAACAGCCGCGCCTGCCTCCGCCACCAGCAGTTCCGCAGACTCCAGTGGAGAGAATGTGCTGCAACGTTCTGGTCGCTTATCGGGTCTCGTCGATCAGATAGATGATGAAGATAAGCGATCGACATGTTGCGCATTGCTGACAATGATGTGTTCCGCACCTGCCTTGGTGGGAAGCTGATGCTGGCCTCTCCTGTTAGCAGGGTTATTTTCCGGGTTTTTCGGGCTGAATACGCCAGCGACGCGACAATTCTCGCATGCGATTACATTTGGGATGAACTGCGCCATTTTTAGCAATATGGTTCAGCACATGATCGGAAAGTGCAAAGCACATCCTGTGAGGGTATTGCTTTACTTTTTGTTAAGAAAGAATGCAAAGCACATCCTGTGAGGGTAATTTAATCTCGATTTTGTTCTTCGCAGCACGTTGTGGTAAACGCAGATGAGAAAGAGTCCCATCTTCTAGATAAAACTGAGCACTCTATTGAACGGAATAAGTATTTTTGACACCCAAACTGACTGTCACCCAGCACATTCTCTCCACACCCACGACAGGCCACGCGGAGCCATTTCCAGAAATTTGCTCCGGTTTATATGATCGGTGTTGGCGCTATCCTAATTCTCTGCGACTTAGTACGACATTTGATGAACGACGCTTGGGGTACGCATTGTGATGAGCGGGATGACTTCTCAGTGCAGACGAAGGATCTATTAAGGCTCCCCCCAATCCATCTTCGAAGCAGCCTGTTGTTTGAGCGGGATTTTCAACTGAAAAAGGGCCCAACAGGGTGACTATCACTATCTTAAGATGGATAGAAGACTGGGGTGAGCTCTAAACCAACCTGCGAAGTACTCTGAAGTATGCTACGGTACTGGCTTCGCTTCTATGTACAATACAGATGGGAGCTTGAATACTCTGGGACTGTTGCTTAGCGTGATTTTCACCTGGACAGGCTTTGTGTTGCTGTTTAGCGGAATTCTGTACGGCATCGATTTTCATCGGAAAGTTAGATTACAGTGGCGAACGATACGAGAAGGACGATCTGGGGGGAGAGCGCCGATTATGACACACTTGAAATTAATATTCAGTATATTAATATAGGTGTAAGCGTATTATAGTCGTGAAGTCCTTGGGACGATTGGCAGGAATACCAAGCTGTTTTCATCATAGTATGATTCACTTTGAAATCAACATCGTAAATAACCATGACCTTGAGCATACATCTTCTAATGTCACCAGTACTGCGCGTGGACTAGAAGGATTTCCGGTCGCAAGGAATGTCGTAGAGCCACCAGCAAGAGGGTCAGCGCCATTGTTGGAAAATCAGGTGTAGTAAGTGAGTTCTTGACACACGAAGATCATGGGTTTACTAGCGAAATTTTTCAGAGCAAGGTCGCAAGAATAGGATAAAAAAGATTGTACAGATTCTGCAGTTATATCTTTTGACTTTTTTTGGATACTCCGTCCTAGTTGAGTTTTTCCGGGTGACGAAAGAAAACATAGTCATGAGCCTATTCATAATGCCGATCGATTGATTCCTAGATACGCTGTATGTGTGTATGTGTAAAATATTTGAAAAAATGAATATTACTGTTAGTAATTTATTGTACTAAATTTTCAGGTTATAGTTTCAACGCATAGTTATGCGTCCGAGAAAAGCCACTCATCTTTCTATTCGTCTATGACTGTATTGAGTACAAGTGACGCCTCCTTATCGTTCTCACTGTAGGGAGGCTGATTTTTCGATTTTTTTTTCAGCTGGTCACATTGATACGCAGGTCGGCATTTACGAGATATATTGGCTTTTCCCATTATTGAATTTTTGATCCAGATATACTTTCGCGACATGTGTAGTTACTACGATGTTCCATTTGTGGCACCTGCCCTGCTCAAGTTCACTGTACTTGGGTGCTACGTAGTACCACTTGCGCAATAGCCGCCCGGACACATGGCACGAGTGGCCAAGACCAAGAGGCTAATCCTATTGCGTCTGCCTCCACTCTCCTACAGCTCAGCTATTCCTCCTTCTTTTCCTTATCTCCAATTTTGAATTTTCCAAATCGTAGCGCGGTCGTAGGAGACAACATTGCCATCCTGGATCTTTCTACTTGAGTAGTGGAACATGATCAAGGTGCACTCAGTGTTCGTACGATTGCCTCACACGACCAGCTCAGGCTCTTAGAGCAAAAGACAGATAATATCGGACGAAAAGGTTCCTTGATCAGTGTGCGATCCAACAACAGACTCAAGAACAGCATTCACAAGTCTAAGAAGAAGAGGAGATCCATCACCACAACTACCTTCTCACGCAAGTGAATAGAACTCCCAACGTGATCAATTGAGGGAACGAACAAGAAGAAGAAGATGTTGCGGCTTCTGCAACATTGTTCAGCACTAGTGCTCTTATTCATGATTCTCCTGGCTTCTACGGCGCCATACGTAGTCCTCGCTCAAGCTCGACTACGTTTCCCATTAAGCGAGCCGCCGAACGACCTTTTGGCTGCCTTTCCTGATAAATTTGCGCATCATCCGACAACCTCCCGACGCTTGAAAAGTGACCTTTTCAGCTTTCTCACCTCTAGCGAGTTCTGTGGAAGCCACTACGGCTCGGATGTGGTGGAAGATGGGGATGACAAGGAAGTAGGAGGTAGAGGTGTTGGAACGACGATTATAGATTAAGGCGCGTTTCTTTGGGGGCCTAAATTTTCTCAACTTTCCACTATGATTCAAGATGAGCGATCCATCGTGAGAAACACACATTGCTCAAGATGGATAAGAATCGCATAGACTGACAGAGTTAGTTAGCTCGTCTAGGGTAGGAATGACCACCAAAGACGGATGATGATGATGATCTTCTAAGTAGAGCTGGGATGCCATCATGGGCATACTAGTGCTATTCTCGCTAGTGCCCTGAAGATGTGCAAGGGAAAGGAAGGAAAACTAATCCTCATCGACAAAGAAGTCTCGCATTTGCGGAAAAGCGCGAAGACAGTACGTGAAATCGCAAAGAGTACACGAGAGGCACTTGGCGGTGACACCAATAGTGGTATCCCAGAACCGGCACTGTTACGCCTAGACTCTCTTCGAACCGAGTGGGCTGCGATGTTGGAAGCGGAGCGAGGAAACATTGGGCTCATTTTGATCGATGGAAATCACGATGAAAGCTATGTATGGTTCGGGGGGAAGTATGAAAATCTGTAGGTTACAAATACAATTTGATTTTCAGTGTTAATTAGAGTTGGTAGGCCTAGAATAATTTTTATTTTATGCACTGTTCTCTTTGCCACAAGCTTATTTTATGATTTTTGTTCTGCATCATGCTCCTGAGCAACCTGACCAACATCGTCAATTTTCATCACCCCATTTTCATCCTTCGTGCGTGCCGATGCCGAACGTGCTGTCGCATTGAAACCTCGCTTCGTCCTTTTCGACGATGCTCTTGAACCTGGGGTGAGAACGGTGATCAAGTCTCTGTTTGACCCACTGCGCAACGTTTTTTCTGACTGTTGGGATATTGGCTGGCGGAGAGGATGGACAAAGTTCTTTGCTGACTCCGACTTCTCAGCAAAGGAAGGCGTGGGCCTGTTCGGCTTGGGAGCTGATTACTTCCACGACAAAGGTACAACTAGTGCAACTCCGGAAGCAGCAGAAGTAGAGACAAGGAGTATAATGGCCTCGACTTCTGTAGAAGAGTCCGCTTTCAATGAAGAAGATTCTACGACAATATCGCCGTTCGGTCTGACAGCCGCATTGTGGGGCAAGGCAGCTCTGGCTTCGTCTACATCAAGAAGCGGCATTATCAGTGTAGTTTTCGATGGAAATCTGACAGTTTCGGAGCTGTTTCAACCTGTGGCAGCACTTGGTGCTAGTGACGCAACATCAGCATCTGGTGAAAAGAAGACATCAACTACATCGAAGCTAGTGCGTGCTATGATCCCCAACGACGATATTTTGCGATGGAATCTGGAGGAACCTGGGAGTGAGGCAGTATTGTGTAAGGTGAACCAGCAGTATGACGAAGATGAAATAAGACCTTCTAGACCAGGTAGGAGCGCTCCTCCTTCGGATCTTCAGGATAGGAATGACGTAGTCAGCAAGGTCACAGCAAGTAGTCAGCAAGGTCACACTGTTGAGATGGTGGAGTTACCTCGGAGTTTGTGGCTGCTGGCTGGTTCGGAGGAAGAGGGAAGCCCTGTAGATGATCAGGGTCTCTCAACTGATGAGCACCTAGGCGACCCTCGAGACGTGCGACAGCTGCGTGTGTTGCGGTCTGCTGCAGGGAAAGGTGAAGATGGCGCACGAACAAGGTTAAGGCTACAAAGATCTGAGAATTTGAATAGAGAATGAAATTAAGATGGGACTTCAGGTGCAGCTACAACTTACTCACCTTCTAACAAAAGAAGCCGCTATTTCCTACGACGGCCAACTAACAGGAAGGCCAGACCAAACGCGCGTATTCGCTCTCCTAGATTCCGATTGGCTTAATCACAAGCTAGACGCTGTAAAAGTCGACGCTCAATTATGGCTCTATGGAGACAATTCTGTCTCTTGCACCCTTCCCGGTTTACGACCGAAGACTTTACTTGCGAAGTACTTACCCGAAGGCGCAGTCTATGACAGTACCAACAAGCCTAGACCAGTTATTCTCTTTCCGCCAGACTTGGACTCGATAGCGTTCAGCATAGAGTGGAATGCAGCGAGAACGGCCTTTAGGATGGACCAACTAGACGTGATAACTGGAGAATACCAACACACAAGCTACGTTTGCATTTTGTTTGATCTGCTGCTAGGACCTATTCGGGATGCAGTTAGCGATTTTGTGTGAAAAATGATGAACATGGTACTAGCTGTAGACATCGCTGTTTAAGATCACTACAGCTCACCAATTATGAAGTCGCATTGCTGCATGAGTAAAATGGTCTCATCACGTTAATATTTGAGATATTTCTTATTCCTCTGATGTTGTGTTCAGCGTGAGTCTGCCAAGTGAGGAGTCATGGCGGGAGGTTTAATCCTTCCAAGATCTGTATCTGGGATTCATCATGGAGATTTCTGAAGATCAAATCTATCGAATATTTCAATCTGTAGCGATGGTACGCACTATTCCTGTCATGTCGTGAGAGGTTTTCAGAGTGTGTTGATATGTTGCATATCTGTTGCTGAGATGATTGCGTTTCTGTCAAGAGGTGTTAGCTATGCGGTAGAAACCTTAACATATCACTCAAGTATATATTTCCATATCTTCGCGGTCTTCTTTTCCTTTTCCAGTCAGTGTCCTGTCATTTCTATGTTCCCCCCACGACCGATTTCTAGCTTACCCTCCTTCCGCAATGATTTCTTCTACGTCGCTTTGGAATTTTTGTTTTGATCCTCTAACTACAACATCTTCGTCTCCTAGTCTACCCTACGATTCACTGTCATCTAGAAAAGTCTTCAAAAATGGCAATCGAAAAGGAGCCAGAATACCCGCTCAAGCGGATAGGGCCTAACGACTTCATGACCGCTCTCAAGCAGAGCAATGCAAATGGCAAAGTTCCACTGTTTGTGGATATGACTGGGAGCATGAGAGCGTACATATTATATAGATACTTAAACCTTTTGTAGCATCCATTGTCGTGGTCTTTGTACTTATGTTCTTCGGCAAGTTCTTCGGCAACCACCACGAATTGTGCGCTTCATCAAGAGGATGAGAGAGTCACAATCTTCGGTCAAAGACTGTCGCTCGTCTCTTTCGGATCCTCGTTTTTATCTCTGTAGCACTTTCCTCATCTTCTGGCTCAATTTCATTCCCCCTTCTCTAACTACACAGCAATTTCAGCTACCACGGTTACGACACCGTCTGTGATGTTGGCGCCATGGTTGCTTCTCGCGGGACTGGAGAACGTACTCATATGCACAGGGATGGCAGCACTTCACGAACGGACATCGGTGACGCCATGCGCAGGGCTTACGTTGAGGGCGTGCAAAAGTCTATGACCACACAGGAAAAAGTGTACTCAACATGCTGCTCAGATGAAAACTAGGCAGTAGTTCTCTACTTCGAGCGCACCTCCTGCTAGTTTCTTCAGTATCTCAGTATGTTGAGCACACTTTCTCCTTTCATAGTACCTGGCGCAACGGTCTACATTCTAGGGCAAAGCATCCCACAAGAATGGAATACCTTTTGCACAAAAAATGGTGGAAAGTTTGATCAAGAAGCGGTCTTTGACATTGGGTACATGCGGAGCCAGGAGTGTTTTTCTAAGATGAACAGTATGGGCGGAGGACAGTCTTCAGCTGTACAGGGAATCAACGGAAATGGCCCCCACGCATCAGCGGGTGTGTGCTTGTTAGTACATGCGAGATTGAGATCAGACGTGGATCGAATATTGAGGGCTGCGCATGACACATTTGGGGAAAAGACCTTTGCGACGCAGTTAGATTTGCACGTGGTGCAGGCTGCTGGGTTTTCTTTCGCCTAGACTGTAGTGGAGCTTGATGCTCAATTCAATGTAACAACTTGTGATCCTCGAAGTGTGTGCGATAAGTATCATACAGTTCGAAAAAAATTCAGCATGCACTAGGTAGTGTGTGCTGTTGAAACTGAAAGTACTACGTATGTGTATGTGCTGTTGGGAAAGGAAAATGAATACTTAGCATAGAAGCTTTAATGTGTAGGGAATACTCAGAAGAAGGTTTATGAAGAATGCGAAAAAGACTTCTTGATGCGGGAATCAGTTATAATTTTTACATCTTGGGCTTGTCTGACGTGCGCGTGCACGTCGACATGCATTGTCGCGGATTTCCTTGAGGTGCAAAATCAAAAAAAATTGAATGCCTTGATGAATTCCTGAACAAGACCTTTTTGTGGAGGTCTGCTTTCAATTTCGGTCCAGATCTTTTACGGTTTGGAAAAATGCGACACCAGAATGAATCCACTCCTTCTTCTAAAAAAACACCATACCAGGGCGTCTTCATGTGAAGAACACAGAGAACACTAGGGGGTAGAACAAAAAGATATCGTCCTCTAAAGAAAAGAAAAAGACTAAGAGACCAAGCCTAGAAAAAACATTTAAGTTTATTTCTTCTTCAAAAACAAGAACTAGGATAAAACGAGGGTTGTAAAAAAGTAGTCAGTAGCATCCATACGTAATCATCGCAACCAAAATGGAAGTAGGGAGCAAAAAGAACAAGCGTGACGCAGGGGCCGTGGTCCACAAGTTTCTGCCCAAGCCCTTGTCGAACGTCTGTGCTGCGCTGCTTTTGCAGCTTACGGGATCATTTTTTTGCTTGCAAACTACGGAGGCTGCCCGACCTGTCCTAGATACCGCAGAAGTAGATGTTACAACATCTGGGGAAGCACAAGCAGCAGCAGCAGCTCGTAGTGCGACTGCTGCTTCTCCTAAAGCAAAGCGCAGGCGCTGTGGCTCGCGTTCTCCTGCTCGTCGTTGCTCCTTCCTCCCCATGGAAAAGGAGCAGAAAAATGTCTGCCCAGATATCATCCAGTTGGACGAGGATGCTCTTGATCCTTTCGGAATCGGATCCCGGCCAGATGGACAAGGAGGAGATGAATCTGAAAACGCACTGAAAATTTCCGGCATTGATGTTCAAATCTTTTTTCCGACCGAGCCCTACAAGCTAACGAAAGAGGACGAATTGGAAAAAGCCAAAGCAAGCTACATGAAGAACGGTTTCGCCTTCATCCAACCTGGGAGTCTACCTAAGGAATTGCTTCAGCTTCATGTCTCAGCCTCAGGCAAGTCGAAGTCTACCACTATTTATTCTCCAAACAAGGAAATCGATATCCAACAGCTGCCAAACACAAAAGCATGGCTCCAATATTTTCAGAAAGAGATCATCCCGAAGTTAGGCATCGTAGGGGACGGCGAGGTGAACAAGACGAACAAGTTAAGCAAGGTCATGCCACCCGCAAGGAGAATGTGGAACGAGCGGATCAATTATTAAGGCTCAGCTTTCAATGGTCACCATTGAGATTGGGGTCACTGAGATCCCTCTTGAGGAAAGATGGGGGGAAAATGAAGGAAAAGCAAAGGGAGAGGCATGGGGCCCATTTCTTTCAGAGTCAGCGACCATTGAATGCTGAGCTTTAAAATTACGAGGTCCTGAAAGAGTTCGCTGACGTAGACGAGCGTCCGTACGGGCCGCATCATGATTCTGGATGGAAGGAGGGCGTGAATTTTTTCCCTGAAGAAGAAGATGACAGTTCTACTCGTAGAAGGACTCCCTACTTGCCGCGACACCACGAAAAGAAAAACATGATTAAAAAGAACGTAGTTTCTTTGATTATGGACTCGCGCGCCCGCCTTGCTGGGTATGAAGATGTTGATCGAGCGGGAGGCGGTGAAGACTCTGGTGGTGGACGAGCTGACGGAGGTGGACGACGAGACGGGGAAAAGATGTTGACCAAACCTATTGACACTTGGCATACGGATCTGAGCTTTTGTGGCGAAAGTGACGAATTTACTATTCGCATTTTGAACTCTGGTAGAAATAGAAATTATGATTTTTCAAAGAGCCTGGGGCGCTCGTGGGATACAGAAAAACTAAGGCTTGAAGAAATCCATCTTCGCCAGAATCTTCGATCCGTTTCCTAGGGAGAAACGGCCACCAAGATGCTCTACAAGATGGATTTCTTCAAGGTCTAAAATATGCTTCGTATTACCGTCCTGATCTTTCTTTTAATTCGCCGTTGTCCCCTGGCATGCTGGGATACGTTTTTCAACTGGGATTCTTATCCCGTGGCGCGAAAATCAATGAAGAGACGATGCTGGAAAAATTGCTGCAAGTGGGCACCATTCGAAACAGCATCGCAAAAAACCGTTGCTTCTTCACAGACAAAGACTTTGACGTGCTCGAGAAGGAGCTGAGAGCGGTTGTTAAGGCTTGAGGAAATCCATCTTCACAAGCATCTCGGCCTTCCTGTTTGTGCCTGAAAGGAACAAAATATGTACCAACGCACGACGGACCAAGATGCTCACCAAGAAGATGCATTTCTGCAAGTTCTAAGATGGGTAGCGCGATGTTTTCAGGAGATCCTTCTAAGGAGGAAGTCACTGCGCTTTTAAAAGTTCAAGCTTATCTTTCCGCATTGGCCGTCGTCAGCAAAGAAGTGAATCATGGTCCTCCTCTTGAAAAAGAAGAGGAAGACAAAGCGAACCTGGACGACCATGAGGATGGATATCATCAGGCCCCTTCTGAACAAGCTCCTTCATCTGAAGAGGATGAACATCAGGAGGTGGAACGCCCACATGATCAGCTGTTTCACTGGCTCAAGTCTCAGTGGTGGGAGAAGGCCGCGGAACCAATGTTCACGGAGAGGAACACTGGGGACCAACTAGCTGATCCGAACTGGGACGAGATTCGAGAATTTGTGCACCACCTCTTTCTCAAACAGGAGCTTCAGTTAAGGATGTGGGAAATCCATCATCTCCAAATGAGTCATCTGAGCGAGAGAAGAAATAGAAAACAACAAGCAGTAGAACAGATGATTCGCCTCCTGGGATGGATTTCCTATATGAATGCCACTAATTCAGGGAAAAAAGGAACCTGGCGCTTCTCTTGCGGAGAAGTCAGCTTGCTTCTGGGCGCGTCTACGGCTGCACGATGCTTACAATGTCTGGATGAACGTTACACCTTTTGAAGATGATGTTGAGAGTTCTAAAGACGAAATTTTCGAAATAAACAGTACTACTAGTAGTACAGCACCCAGAGCTACGACGGTACGACATACGGGAAATATGGGTCGTATGGACAAACCATATCGCATCAGCAACCCCTTATCCGTGATGAACCCGTTCACAATGAAGCTAAAGCAATCCAAAGCGGGTGGCTTTCGGGGATTAGATGGGGGTTTTAGTGGAGGCGAGCCCGAGAATAAAGTTTACACGAGACTTGAGATGTACTTCGGTGAAGCGGTTTGGTTTAATACGGTGATCACTCACCATGCTGCGGCTCCAGATGATATCGTGGAAAAAGAATTCTACTCGAAGGTGAAAAGTACACCTCGTTCAGCATCATCATCATCTCTGAAACGGAAAAGCATCGAGACTAGGGTGGCTCAAGTCGAAATCTGTGACGAAGAGATTCCTCTCGACCATAACACACGAGATATTTTGTGGAAAGATGTCCATTATCTGAAGCAGCTTTGCTGGGGAAATGAGTGAGTTACTTAGTTACTTCACCAAGTAGAGGTATTCTGAGACGATAACAAACAAAAAGAAGGTTGGAAGTAGGTTGCTACAAAAAGAAGCACTCAGGTGTTTCCTTCAGCAAGGTTAGTAGGGTGATGAAGAAATATTTCTAGGGAGGCACTTCGTAGGGCGTTTTTTTGGGTTTTTGGAACAGCAACGCAGCTGCATTATGTGCCAAAATGATACCTACGTGGAAGATAGGTCCTTCATTCATGCAGCCCTAAAAAATGCAACACCTCTTGTTATGCACATACATACATACGTACATACATACAGACATACATTCGCCTGCATGGTGCTGTATATGGCGGTGAACGTGAAGAAGTGCGTTGCATATGTGTATACATCAGGAAGAGCGAACCTCTAAGGCTAAGCCGTCTTTTCTCGTCCATCGGTTGAATCTCTGCGGTTCTTCTTCGACGTGTCAGCAGCCGCTCATGGATCAGATGAAGAACAATTCGGAGATCACTTCCTGTTGTAGTAGACTTGCATAAAGAACTCTTTCCTGTGGTGAATGTCTGTTGCCACTACTAGATTCGGTCTTTGATTGCAGAAGGTGAGGGGTAGTTTTTTGACTCCGTGGTAACCCCACGCTTCTTCGTTTTTCTACTAGTTGCGCAAAGTCATAATTATCTACCTGTTGATTCTTTAAGCTGCATTGATGTTGCTTGTGAACAGAAGTTGATGGAGCTTGTTCATACTTTTAGTACAGTCCACTGATAGAACGACAACAAGCACAAATGTGCATCTCAAGGCGGCCTCAGAGGTAATACGTAGTTACTCGTTGTTCCCCACTAGTAATACACATTTGTCGAGAACAAACTGAAATCATAAAGAAATCATGGACTCCTCATCTCCAGCACTCTCTTCCCCCATGCCGCGGCGCCCCGTGCCGATTGCCAGTCCTAAGCGGTCGCCCCGCACGTCATCGTCGACCCTGGTTGCGGCTGGCATAGCAAGTACTGGCATAGGGTCAGCGTCTGATGTGAGTGGCAGTGGAGGTAGCTTCGGCGTGAGCAGGCTTACCTGTGACCACGATAGAGGAGACTACAGAGCAACCCCCTTGTGGCATGAAGTGGGTGTTCAACCAACGTATATGAGGATGAATGATATCTTAAACAGTGATGTCATGAACTGCAAGAAGCAGACAGAAAAAGAGGCTACTACTTCTGGTACGACATCGTCCCCCAGAAGAGGAGGTGGACATCATCAGCATGGAGGTTCTTCACCTAGAAGTAGACGCGGTCAGGAGCAGATTGGAGGTTCCTCCGGTACGTTATCTTCCCCGAGGCCGCGAAGGACCGAAACCGATCATGTGGCATCCAAACATCATACGACTGGAGGCTTCTCTGGAGGACATCCTCAGTCCAAAATAAACGGAGGTCCTTCAGCTTCTCCCCCCTCTGGCTCGCCCCGACGGAGACCCCCATGGCGTAGCATCATGCCAGACGTGAGGCGTAAGGGATCTATGTCGCCTGAACCAAATAGAGGACGTGGTGGAGCGTTTGGGCCTGTACAGCCATTGCCTGGTGAAAAAGATCCGACCTATGCCAAGGTTCTGTCAAGAGTCCAGGTGGATCCGGTACTGTATTCTAGTGTCGACGCTGTGATTCGAAAATTACCGAATGTAGCTGCTGTTGGCGAAGGAGAGGGAGGGGGAGGCGGAAATAATAGGAATTTATTTCATGGAGCAGGAGCAGGTACTACATTACAAGAACTCCTACACGTCATGGATTTTGTCTTCAGCTAGAAAGAGAGCAGCTGGTAGATTTTGCTAAAGTTCACGTTTGCGTTTCGCTCTCGTCACTGAAACTCAGTGTTTAGTTCACCATCGTTATCAACTTAGTTTTCATGCATCTACTTCAGCACCAGCACAGCAGCGACCGACAGATTCGAGTGCTTCTCCTCGACGGTCTCCTTCGCGACAAACGGTGGCTCGTAGAAAAACCGAACTCTTTCATCGCATGACCACCGAGACCGCTGTGGCTTTACTGGAAGTCCAGCACTGTGTGAACAGTGAGAGCATCTACCGACACGACCCGGGAGTTGAGCCTCAACCTTCGTACGACTACGCGGTTATGAAATCTGCAGTTCAGAGTTTGGTTGAGAAGTCCTCCGAAGTATCGTCCATGTCCAAGATGATGAATTATGGTGGAGCAACATCGGCATCTTCCGCACGCGGAAAACATACGGGGAATACTAGCCCCACGAGAGGAATAGCACCATCAACTTCTCCCAGACCAGTACGAGCTATAATGGGATCAGCGAGTAAGCAGGGAAATGCTGACGATGATGGGGTTATTGTAGATGAAAGGAGAGTAAGTTTAGCCCCAAAACGGAATGAAGCAGCAGCACTAGTGGGTTCGCGGGCGGCGATATTGGGTCGGTATCTCGATGAACTGGCTTCACGCGTTCCGGAAGGACTTCTGAGACATGAACAAGACCAAGATGTTGGTAGGTTAGCAGGAGAGGGGCTTGCAAAAATTGCGTCTAGTACACAGGAACAATGTTCCCCTTCAAGTAGGACTCCACGTCAGCGGGTTTCTTCTCAGGAAAATACCGCAGCAATCAATACCTTTCAACGATCCTTGAGGAATTACGAGAAGCTTCCGAAGCCCCCAGATGGTTCACCCAGAAGCAACATGAAGAAGGTAGAACGAGAAGAAGAAGAAGGAGTTGCGCAAAATGGACCTGCTGCTGCTACAGGAGTAGCTGGTTTAGCTAGAAGCACCTTTGCAGATCATGATGCTTTGGCTGAGACGCGTCGTCCACGACCTTCTTATTCTCCTCCTCGTGAAGTCGTTCATTCACCGAATTCTGGGAGAGCACTTCCACAATTTGATACGCAACAGCAAGTATTCGTATTGGATTTTAGAGATGAGGATTTTAGCACTGGTTCTGGTTCTTACACTGTTTCAGGACCTCCAGTGAAGAAAGCCTGTTCCCGTCTTCGCAACAGCATCGTCTTAAACGAAGCTACACTACGACGGAATCCATCGCCACTTCTTGCATCTTTAAAGCAGCACCAATGGCGCGTGCATGGTCAGAGCTTGTCGCCGTTGATCTTGGTTTTGCATGACACGGAGACGGCGGCCGCACGTGCAGGCACAACTTTAGCTGAGCAGGGCTTTTTGAACGTGTTTTTGCTGTCGCATGGCGGTAATGTAGATGCGCTAGTACGGAATATTGAGGTCTCGGCGAGACGCGCTTGTGATCATTACAACGTCGGAAGACCTGACTACAGTATTTCTCCACGTCAAGAAGTTGACCATGCTCGTCATATTGCTCCACGTCAAACGAGACGGACGTCATTATTGGTGCCGTCATAGCTTGTTTAGCTTTGACGAAGCATTTTCCACTTCCTATTTGTGATGTCCTCTTGTCCTCAGCCACGACATTGCATGGAGGTAAGGATATTGAAGTCACCCCTCAGGCAAGAATTTTCCCTTGATGTCAGTCATCACATTCAAATCTTGTGCTCCTGTTGGTCCTTAGTTTTTTCATCGACAGAACGGAAGCTGATCTCTTCTACAAGGCCGATCCCTCAAAAAATCAAATTTCCCGCGTAGAACTACTGACAGCTGGTTTCATGCTTAGAATGGCGCCACTCGTATCTCATAGACAGCGCAGCTGCCTCCGTCTCGCGTTTATTTAGTAGTAGTCACCGCGAAGAACCGTTCTTGTACGGGATCCTTCATCTTCGCTTTGCTTTCTTATAAGTTTCACTAGTGAGTAGGTCGGACTGGTACTTTTAATATTCCATGTAAAAGGAAGAAAAAGAACAAGATGAAGATGCTAACGGCCACTAGTAGTCGTCTCGCGCTGTTCCCTGCATCGCGACAGAGCAGGAAGGTTATGCAGAGAGCAGCTTGCGAGCAATACTTTTTCCGAGCGCTTGGGACTTGTTACAGTAGTCCAATCAACAATGGGGCTCTTAGTCGCTTTCATCCTGGAGGTCGTGGAAGCTCTTGTTCGCCGAAGAGGAGTTTTAGTACAACAGGAAACGTTCATCTTGGAGAAGGTGAAAATGCTTCTTCATCCTCGTCTTCTAGTAGTTCAAGTTCCTCCTTAGCTCCATCGAGTAGCTCAGCTACATCGTCCACAAACGCAGAGTCGACCACAACATCAAACGCAGATCCGTCTGTCCGTCTACTCGCATGTCTAGGTGGCGTCCTAGCCTATGGCGTTTTCTCCGAAGTGTTTACACCATCGACTTTGGTGCACGACTACCACACACCTGGACTGTTGTCGGACTTTTCCTGGGATGGTGGTAGAGCTATCATACGCGATTTCGTCTGGATTGGGAGTGGTGCAATGACGACTCAAAGTATTTTGAAGGCACTGTTGACGAGTACGATTGGCGTCACCTCTCCTACTCCTGTAATAGTTGGAACATCTACTTCTACAGCAAATGCCCTCCTGACCGCAACATGGGCTAGCGTATGGAATTTGATAAACTCGAAGGAGTACGCAGCTGCGCTTGCGGAGGTAAGGGTCTTTTTTGGGACAAAAGTGGTACCGCATATAGATCGTAAAGTGTGGGTGGAGTTTGCGATTGTGCTTGGACTAGTGCAGATTGCATGGACGGGAGCGCAACAATTTTTATGGCCTTCATCTTCTAACGCGTAGAAGTAGATGAAAGCCATCCTAGAAAGTTCAATTGAATAATCGCGTCATCGCGCTCGGGATGGCCATAGACAACATGGTAGTATATAACAGAGTAGTTTATAGCACGCATGGTGCATGGAGTAGCATGGAGTGCATGGAGCGCAGAGCTTTAAGGGGCGCAAGAAGTTCCCCCTTTAGCTCCATGCTACTCCATGTGATCCATGCACTCCATGCCGTGCGAGCTGTGAAACCTTAAATAATAATTGCTCTGATATAATAATCATGATCATCAGGACTACTTCTCGAAGGAGTCTCAGCGTCATCGTTGCCCCTTCGTCTCTCACAACTTTAATTTCCCTCAAGAATGACAACGATGCATCCGAAAGTCTGCTTTTCGAACGCGATCGCCGTAGACGTGCCTTTTATGCTGCCAGATCGAGGCTTCAAGATCGAGGAGAGCGTAAGGGAGATCATGGTTTGGAGAAAGCAGAAGCAGTCAACAGTTTGGACCATCTTCCGAACAAGCAGCTCTCCGAAGAGACTTTCCGGTCTCTTGTCGCCAAAATTCGTTCTCAGGACTGTTCAGGTATAGCAACGGCCGTACCTATTCGCTCAGACGTGGACGCTTTGCTGTTGCTACACTTGTTTCGTGACCTGGGAATTTTGCATCCAAGTTTAGTTATGGTAGAAACTAACAGACTACAACTGGCTACAAAAAGTTGTATTTCACAAAATATAACAAGCCGCACTTCTCAGTGCTATTTCACGACAGGAGGAAACGACAGCTGGCTTACAGTCTTTTAACACATGTTGACAAATTGTTCTCCAACAACGAACCGGAGTCGTGATACGACCACAAGGATCCACTATTTGAATTAAAAAAAATGATCCACTATTTTGAATTCTTAATTTAGGTTATAAGGCGTTAGTAGAGAAGATACTATTTATGATATCGTAGTTACCTCAAGCTCAAGTAGAGCATGCATTTTTTATGATAATATCCTAGTTACCTCAAGTAGAGCATGCTGTCTTAACCTTCCTCGTCTAATCCCCATTGGCTCAACGGCGGTTGTCTTCGAAAGCGAACCGAACGCGAGCTGTACAATGAGGTTGAGAAATCGGCCCAACGCCTGATCGATGAGATGGATCCTGGGTTTGTGGAGAAAACCTTTTTACCCCTTCTCTACTTACGGTTATAAGATACAAATATTGCCAGAAACCCATCTCTAAGAGTATGAGTATCGTTTTGCCCTTTATTAATACTGGAAAAGTTGTGGCAAGAGATACTCATCTACCTTCTTGCTTCCGTTCTCGTCCTTGATGAATTTCATTAATCGATTCATATGCTTATCACTACTACAAGCTAATAATCAGTTGTGGTTTATACGAGAGGGCTGTCAGTACGTCTAATCCACAGTGGCGACGAAGATGCGATCGCGAAATCAACCCCTTGGTTGCTAGGTTCCTGTAGGAACGCTTGGGCAAGGATGACGTATCCGTTTCTGCGGAAATGCTTTGTCTTTGCGGAGTTGGAGAACCACGAGAGGAATGGGTTCAGTTCTGCTACTTGTCAGGGGGACCACGACGGTTCGTCTACTGGAGCCGGTGGAGAAGATGGAAGTGGGGGTCGTGTAGCTGGAGATGGAAGTTCGGGCCCTGCAGATAAGTCATCGTCTACCTCAACGTCTACAACAGTCAACAATCCTCGACGATGGAATTTCGAACGCTTGAATCCTTGGTGCGTGTGGTTACCCTCAGTATACGCCTTACACGCATTCGCAAGAGATCCTTTTGGTTACAACGATGCTTTTTGGGCTCTACCCGCGGTAGCGAGAGTTGTAGATAGAATGCCCGCTTATGAAGTTTGTTCCGATGCATGCTGGGCAATCCTTCGTACGTGGCTTCACACTGTGACCGCTTGCGCCGTTGGGTATACGGCGTTTTACACGGTGCCGTATTTGCAGCAGCAGTTTTGGACATCTGCATCTTCGACTACATCGACTGGTACCTCGAGTACACCGATGTCTTCTACACCTGTTGTTGAACAAGTTGGAGACATTGATGAAGTAGATACCTCCACATCTAGTTGTAGGCCTGAATCCTACCGCGTCGTAGCACCAGGAGGCCTTCTATGGCGTACGGCACCTTTGTGGTTTGCTACAGTAGGGGATCGGGATTTTCCAAAGTATGGTGACATTGTCCTAGGGACAGTGGAGACGTCTGGTGGGCAATCATGGCTGCGTGTGTATACCGACAGGACTGTCACAAGAGCAAGTTCTTCAAGATTATGTTGACTTTCGGAAATTTCCCCCATCTTCAGAAGCAGCATCTTGGACCTCCGTGTAAGGGGGAAAGGGGTCCAAGATGGGTTTCAAGATGGATTCCCGAAAGCTCTAACAAGAACAACTTCTCCATCGGGAAGTGCTGGGGGTAGCTTTTACTTACCAATCACATCCTTTTCAGGGAGAAATACAGAAGCAAAGGATCTTATGATGAGGTTCTTAGAGCCAGTTACAACCACTGAAGCGTGTCGTGCAGCCTAAGGTCAAGATTTTGAATGGTGCTGTCATAGTTCCCACCTGCTCTTTGCATACGATCCCAGCGAGTGTGATTTCACGCTTTTGCGGATTACTGTTCTACATCGACTGAGTGTGTCCTTCTGTCATGATCAATCTGTCACCGTGAGATTTGTTGGGTTCTGTTTGATGAGGAGAGTAAAAAAAGCACACGCACAAATGAAAGCAAGTCGGTGGTTCCGAAATGAGCAGAACAGAGAACTCATCTGTGTTGACGTTGAGGAGAGAAAATATAATTACATAGTACTATCTAAGAAAGATGACTCCACATGATCTGTGCAGCCAATGAATGAGTCAGAGTCTGTCAACCGAGGGGCTATGATTAAGGCCGCAGTCGTAGACAAAAAAAGAGAGGCAAGGAATACAGCATGATCGAGTGTTGTTGATCCAAATTGATGCATAGTAGAGCGATAGAATTGACTCCCCCTAATCGATCCCTCTATTTCCCTTCTTTCTCGTCTTCCAGGCATTGATTTCTTGTGATTTTGACCCTTGTTGGTCTTCCGCATGCATTGACGTTGTTTTCGTACTAGTACTAGGTATCGACTACTTGCTAGTAGCTTGACATTGATATTTCTTTTCGTTGTTTGTGTTTTCTGTGGACGTTGTTGCTGTTCGATCTTTCTTTCGCGTTTCGTGGTCTTCTAAAACACCTGAACCTGTATACTCACAAACGCAAAAAACAAAAAATGGATCCGGATCCGATTGGTCGTTCTCTCACCAAGCTCAACCATGTCGCAAAGCGTGGTGTCAGCGCACCTCCGAAAACGTTGATTCCGATCGGGGCTTACAACAATTTGCCTCCGAAGCCGAAGACGCAGAAGATTATGCATCGGCAAGTCAGTTTCTCCCATCCCTCGGTGCACGTGAGTCCGAGCCCTAAATACAGCCAATGGCCAGACGGTCTGATTCGAAAGTTAGACCTAAAACGAAATGAACAAGATAATATCAGAGGGTACTAGTACTTCTGAATCTGAATTTTTTAGCTACTTATTCACGTTTCTTTGGTAGATAGTTAGATTGTCTTTTTCATTGTCGTTGTTTTAAGTAGTTTGTGATCTTCATCTCTCTGGTTTCTCGAGGAAGGGAACTCGAATCGCAATCGCTGGTGCAGCGTGCATAATGATAAGTAAAAAAGACTTGCTTCAGAAGGTATTCTTCTCTCTGCTTCTGCTAATAGCACTCTCTTTGCACCTACTTCTATGCCATCTTGTTCAACAAACTTTTTTACAGGTATTGCCTGGAGGAAATCCGCGAGGACAACGTGATTCCAGGTCGTGCCGATCCTTGGTCTTTGCCCAAGGCAGGGAGTCCTGGCAATCTCTACTCCGGTTACGGCAATAACCGGAAGATGTTCAACAATGTCAGGGCTAGAGGGGATTAACAATGTCCGTGCTAAAGGGGATAAAGAAGACTTCGGACGGGCTAAAGGGGATTAAGATTTTCATCCGTACTTGGAGGACAAGCTGCTTTTGGATGAAGAAGATTTCGGACAGGCTAGAGGGGATCCAGAATTTGACGCTGCAAATTTGTAATCATTGCTCTACTCACCGCGTTTAATCGATAATTAAGGACAAAAGATAAAGACAATAACGAGAGAGCAGGAGGCTGAAGAATCGGAATCAAAATGTCGAAGATTTTCTATCTAAAAAAACCCATCAGTGCCGCGAACGCTTTTAGGTAGAAGTAAGTTTTAAATAGTTAGACTTAGATGAAGATTAGGTACTAGAGGTGAGAGTGCTCACCAAAACCAATGACGACGTATTGATTACATGAACAAGGAGTGAAGAAAATTTGTTTTCGAGCAGAAACGTGCTTGATCTTGGAGTGTGATCATGAAACCTCATGGTTGAGGCGAATCAAATTGATGTGGAATGTCATTAATCGACTATGAATATGAATCATCTGATGAACAATAATTCGTAGTCGGTCCCCAAGAAAAAGAGCCTGAATCGGGACAAGTGCCGGCTGTTGAAATTGTAAGCTACAAGCTAGCTGCATAATCAGGTCTTTTATTGACGCCAGTCGCTGGACAGTGCTATTGTTGAGCTGCGAAGTTCTTTGTTGCTAAGTGTAGGTGGATTTTCTTCATATCGGTATGGAGCTAGAAGTAGAAGACCATGATATGCCCACAATATGATCGGTCGTGAAGATCTCGCAATTATACCTAGTTACCTTGTACTACAATATACCTTAGTTACCCAATAACCTAAACAGGGACCCTCATTCTACAGTAGAATGAGGGTCCCTGTTTAGGTTATTAACGAGCTACGCTATTTTGGAACACGACCAATAAAAGCTGAAAAAAGATGTGGGTTTCAAAGTTGGGAAATGAGTTCCCCAAGGCGCGCATAGAGCAGAAGGACAAGGCAAGGATGGCACGACTGAATTATGGCTGTCCTCGGATCATTTTCGAAAAGGAAACAAATAAATCAAAAAGAAGAACAACTCAAAAACAAGTCGAGTGTAAACTGACTACAACTAGAAGGAACTAAATACCAACATCATGTAAGAAGTCCTACTTCTTCGACCCTTCTAAATTCAAAAGCTCCGCACTTTGCCTCATAACGCAGCCTGTGCTGACTGCGGAACGAAAGATGGCGCTCAATGGGCTGTGGTCTCTCTCGGCTCTTTCGTATCATGTGTCCGATGTGCCTCACTTCCTCGTGGTCTCGGAACACACATCTCGAAAACATCATTGGCTAGCATTTACCTGCTTGTGCTTTAATCTAGGGCCACAAAGAACATACCTTCAGTCCTCAACCTCATGCTCCTGCAGCAGGCAGTGGTCCGAATTTTTTCGATTTGGCGAAGGAATTGGTGAGGAGAGAAGACAAAATGACAACAAAGCACTCATGTCACATGTCGTGCACTCATCATCATCATCATCATCATCGTCATCATCATGATGTTCGTTGGTTGTACTCAAGTTTGTCACATTGAAAAATTGATTAACGAGACAACATAGCATTATTCTTGGTCGCACTTGATGAGAGCCTGCAGCGGAAAAAGTTCACCACGACTCAGGGCATGTTGATCGTCCGTCTTGTCACATTATGGATGTATGCATGCTGAGTTTCGAAGATCATGACGCAGGTTGTTGTATACAGAGTCATAATCATAAATAATGCCTCTATGTTTTTGTAAGTAGCCTAGTAGGTTCATTCTAACAAACAACATATTCTTGTATTGTCGTATAGTTTATTTTTCGTTGGGAAGTACGTAGAAGCGTCTTCATATAGATACATAGAAGAAAAAGGTGAAGAGCTCTCTATTAGCAGTAACTACCTAGGACGCTCCTTCTAGAAAAGATCGTGATTTATTAAAAGCTTGTGAATTAATATGTTGGAAGGAGCAGCAAGCGGAACATCGTTAAAGAAGATGAAGAGCTCAACAAATCACATGGATTCTCACGCCCACAGGAACAAGTCCTCGTCTTCCTCATTTGGAATGTAGAACAAGATCTTCCACCATTTATAGATGATGCGCATGCTTCCACCATTTAGATGGCTCTACTGAGAAAGATAACGCGAGCATCTACTAATGCAACCATAGCTGTTGGCAAGCGGTGCCTCACAGCATTAGTTAGTACCTAAAAGCAGCAGAGATATCCATGCTACTGCTAGTGCTACTTCAAATACATGAGAAGAAAGTTTTCGTAGAGAAGGAAGCATTTATGATTGAAAGAGAAAAGAGCGAGGGTCTGTCAACATGATGTAGAGCCACTTTTCTTGTCTGTCGTGCCAACTTGAAAAAGAAAAGAGCGAGGCATTGCCAGCATGCAGAGTTAGCAACTCTCTGTCTATGAGGGAACGCCGTTACCATTCTCTGTCACATGCATGATGTGCATGAGGGTGCTTCTGAGGTTGATGATCACGATGTCGAAAGAACTCAATCTGTTGTAACTACATTCTTTCAGTCATTCATCTGTCTGAGCCAAAGATTCGTTTGTTGTTGTGTCTAAGTCTACCTAACAACGTCTATTTCAAACACAGGAACGGCAAGCGTCAGAAAGTGACTCGCTTGAACCCCTTGAGCAGTCTTGTCCTTGACAAGTTATCCCGTTGTATAAAACGACACTATTTAAGACTGTAGATACTTAAAGTGCTTGTGCTTGACGAGTTGAAGCATTTTGAAGAATTTCAAATTCTATATTGATCAAAAAGGTATTAAAAAAGAGAAGCATTTCGTTTTACACGTTGAAGCATTTTGAAGAATTTCAAATTCTATATTGATCAAAAAGGTATTAAAAAAGAGAAGCATTTCGTTTTACACGTTGAAGCATTTTGAAGAATTTCAAATTCTATCTTGATCGAAAAGGTATTAAAAAAGTGAAGCATTTCGTTTTAGCTGTATTAAGAATATACAACTAATCGACCACTGAATTCTTGTTATAAAGACCTTCTGTGAAAGGCACTGCAAACGCCACCTCTTGCTAGGCACATTCATTCATTCACTGGATTTTTGCCTTGTAAGTGGTCTAAGAGAAGATAAGCGGCGTTGTCCCAGCAGTCTTGTCGTTGACAGGCTATCCCGTTGTATAAAGCGGCACAGTAGTTTAAGACTAGAAGCACAAGCATTTTGAAGAATTTCAAACTTTATCTTGTTCTACAAAAAGGCATTAGAAAAGCGAGCCACGACTTCGTTTTAGGTTTCTTAAGAATATACTGATCAATCTGCACTGAATTCTTGTTATCATAGATTGGATTTTTGACTCGTAAGTAGTCTAGGAGAAGACAGGCAACATTATTTTCCAGAAGGCGTAGCTGCTGTACTGTCGTCGAGCGAACATCGCCATTAAATTTCGAGAGAACGAGAAGTAAGAGCACAGATAGCCGGTTCATCCTTATAGATTTTTTCACTACATTTTGACTCCTTGTTGACCTTGTTTTCTTATCACTCACACAGAATCAATCTCCTTTTTCGATTTCAGATTCAGTTCGCTGGTTAAAAGAACAATACGAAGATGTCGCTGCTCGACAGAAAGATGCTGCTTTTTTCTCTCGCAGCAACAGGTGGGCCAGCTTGCTGGGACTGGAAGCAGACTTGTTCTTGGCCTCGTCCAGGGCCTCTTAATATAGCACATGCGGTGCATCTGCCTCTGCGGTTTTCGTCGAATACTACCTCCACGAACTTGGAAATGGCCACCTCTCGGAATGGTGCACCTCAGGGAGAAGCAGGCTTTGAATTCCCACCCAAAACAACCACTGCTTGGAACGCGCTTCAGGGAGAAGCAGAACTGTCTTTCTTTAGCCCTTCTTGGGTGGACCCTGCGTCATTCCTGAGCCTTCACGCGGTATTTGATAAAGCTTAACCTTATCTGGTAGATACTAGTGTTCTCTTCACAGTTATCAACAACTGTTTGGAAGAATTGCATTTGTATTTGCTTCGTCCTTTGATAGAAATCGGCGGGCTCTTTTTTATGTTTTAGCGTACTATCGTAAGGATATATGTTCCAGGGGTGGAGGCTCCCCTCCTGTGGATGGAGCGGTGGTGGCGTTCGCGCGTCCTTTTTTCCGCGGTGGTGACATGCAAGGACCTTCGGGGGCCAAGGCCTCAAAAGGCGGAGCCGGAGGCTCCTGGCGGCTCTCCGCGTGTGCCGACTCTTGGACCTTCTCAGGGGGACGGCCTCCGGGAGAAGAAGGCCGCCGAAGGCGGCTACGGTCGCGAGGCCTGGCCCCTTTGGCCCTCGTCCGCCACCACCAAACGCCCGGGGGGTTGAGGACCAAAGGCGGGGAGGAGTAGACGCAAGGCGTGCCCGCCTGCCTGGGTTCTGTCGGATACATCATGCAGCACGGCGAAAGGGATCAAGCCTTGCCACCTGCTTCCCTCGGAGGCCTTTCACCTCCCAAGAGGCTCCCCCAGTGAGGAACCCGCACCCTGGAGGCCTGTAGGGTACACGCAACAAGCCGCAACAAGCCAAAGGGGGCCCAGCCTTGCCACCTTCGGAAGCCTTGCACTCCCGGCCTTCGGTGCTTCAACCGCCACACGGATGAGGGCGCTGTAGGGTCCAGGCAAGAAGCGGGAAGGGGGCGGAGGTGGGCTTTTGGAGGCCTTCCCGCCCGGCTGTCTTTCAGGAAAAAGGGCCAGGGGCGAAAGGCCCCCTCTCAGGAAGTTAGATCGGGGGGAGCCTTGGCCCCTGGAAAATATATTTATAACACTTTACATGATTGCGCAGGAATACGATGTCGATGGATAATCCATCGCGACGTGATATGATATTGACTTTATATGTTAGTTTCTTATAATGATATTGATATTTCAGGAGGTCATAAGCCCTGAAGAGGAGGGGACGAAACCCCTTGGAAAGTTCGTCTTCCGCGGCAGCAATCTTTGGAAAGCCATCGAGAGCGACTTTCAAGAAGGAAACGAACACTGCGGCAAGACGAACACTGATGTTGGAACGTTTCTTGCTGGCGACGGAAGCCCGTATGGGTTGTTTATCTACAGCATTGAAAGGGTGACGGATCCTGTGCTGGAGGGACTCTATAATAAGATGCGGTCTGATATGGCATCCAGCAGTCCGGCGCTGTCGGAAGATCCCCTTGCCAAGATCTTGAAGCCTGCTGCCTACACGGAAAAAGTCGCTAAGGCCGATGCTGTGGAAGAAGGAAAAGAAGAAGAGGAGAAGGTAGAAGTGTCGAAGTCCGCCGGTGAGATGTTTCTGTTCCATGGAACAAACGGAGTCGCAGCGAGGGCGATTGCTGCGCGGGGCCCTGACATTACGCTAGCAGGCCCTGGCTTATACGGGAATGGGTTTTACACCACCGATCAAGCCATCAAGTCGATTCAGTACTGCAGGTATGGTAATGGAGGTATGGTAACTGATACGGACACAAACATTCGTAGTCCAGGGAGTATGCTTCTGATGCAGGGATTGCTAGGCCGGAAGCCTTTTGAATTCGAAGGAACGATGCCCAGTCCTGAGGACCTCCTTGACGAAAACGAAGACAAAACACCAAATGCGCTCGTCGTAAACGGCGCGGGCGGAGAGACGTCGGGCAAGTGGAATGACCATCGAGAGATAATATTTTTCCATACGGTAGGCACTCTTTTGCCAAAATTTCTTGTTCGTTTCATAGACCAAGCTTTTTCGGCGCAGCTGGCCGAAGAAGAGCTGAACCAGCTGACTTCGAAAGACCACCTAGAGATGAAGAAGAAAGAAATCCTGGAAAAGAATCCTGCCGCTATCTGTTCCATGTCGGATGAGGTGGAGCAAAAAGGCGAGGAAGCGCTGCAACCCACACGTTTGTGGGACATTATCGTCGAAAGTGTTACGAGCGACGAGACTCGACATGGAAGCCCGCTCGACTACTGTTGCGTGTTCCGCACGCTCCCCGTGAATAGGCTGCGGCAAGTTTTTGAGAAAATGGCAACACGGCCGAGGAAAATTAGTGATGCAACTCGATGCTTCGCCCAGCGCGGCTCCATTCCCCCAAGCATCCCTAGAGATACCGTGCTCAGCGCGTTGGGAGAGGAGACGATGGGCAGCGACACGGCATTCGTGGAGAAAGCGCTCGGGGCAGACCCTCTCTTTCTCGCGCGTGGTTTCGCTCTCTACCCCAAAATGCTGGCAGAGAAACCCACGCTTTGGTGTGAAGAGAACGGCGCGCTGCTGCAAAGTATCTTGTTAGTAGCGGCTGGGAAGGCTGCCGACGCGGAAGCGGAGGCCACCTCCTCGCCTTCTGTCTCCACTTGGGCTGAAACGGCTGCAGCCCTTGGCTCCGTGGATTGGGCGCATGAGGGGGAGCTACAGGCTGTATTGGAACACATCCCGCAGTGCTGGCATCACGTGGCAAGATCTTTAGATGTTGACGTGCAAGGCATAGATGAGTCACACGAAAGCCCCTCCAAGCGTAAGCTGGGCGCACTCGTTAAGGCTGCCCGCGACAGAATATGCAAGACCACCAACACGGCCCCAACGGAGTTTTCCAGCATACTTGAATGGACGCAGTTGTCGCGCGTCCAGAAACAGGCCATACCCCACGTTTGTACACATGACGAGCAGGAGGCGGCCGTCTTGCAGGAGCCACAAAATCTGGCATTCGTCTCGTCTAAGGTACGAGGCGACAAAGGTACGGTGCTGCAAGCTGTGAAGAGGAGTGGTGGTGTTCTCGAATTTGCCGGTATGGAGCTGCGAAGCGATCGAGATGTGGTACTCGCAGCTCTGCGAAATGACTACAGGAACCGGGAGGACTTCAGGAGGAGGAGCACGAGGAAGCTCTTATCCCTCAGGTGGGCTTCGAAGAGCTTGCGAGAGGACCCACAGTTCATGCTGGATGCTCTTGGCGTTCTGCGTGGCAAACACCAGGAACAGGATCTTGAGATACGGGACCCGAACCACGATCTTCTTGTTGAGATACAGGACGCGAGCACGGATGTGGATTTACTAAACTTGCAGCATCTGGCCATTGCGTTGTCGCCGTTACAAAATGATCCGGACTTCATGCTGGGCTTTTTTCAGAGTCTAGAACGTGACGCTTTGAAGGTAGCGGCTTTCGCACAGCTACCTCCTGACGGGTTGCGAAGCGACGCAGGTTTTGTGCTCCAGATTGTTGAAAGGGTGATGGAAGAACGCTCTATAGTGGAAATCCTCACGGCCGCCCCTGATACGCTTAGGGACAATGCGGATTTTGTGCTCAAGGTTGTTGAACGTGTGAAGGGAGAACGCTTGGAAGTGCTGGAAATCTTCATGGCCGCCACTGATACGCTTAAGGGAAGTGCGGACTTTGTGCTCAAGGTTGTTGGAAGCGTGGAGGACGAAAACTCTAGAGCGGACATCTTCGCGGCCGCCTCTGATACGCTTAAGGACAATGCGGATTTTGTGCTCAAGGTTGTTAAAAGTGTGGAGGAAGAACAGCTAGTGAAAATCTTCATGGCCGCCTCTGATAGGCTTAAGGACAGTGCGGATTTTGTGCTCAAGGTTGTTGAAACTGTGAGGGGGGGCCGCCTTAGAGTGGAAACCTTCGCGGCCGCCTCTGATACGCTTAAGGACAATGCGGATTTTGTGCTCAAGGTTGTTAAAAGTGTGGAGGAAGAACAGCCAGTGAAAATCTTCAGGGCCGCCTCTGATAGGCTTCAGGACAATGCGGATTTTGTGCTCAAGGTTGTTGAAACTGTGAGGGAGGGCCGCCTTAGAGTGAAAACCTTCGCGGCCGCCTCTGATACGCTTAAGGGCAATGCGGATTTTGTGCTCAAGGTTGTTAAAAGTGTGGAGGAAGAACAGCCAGTGGAAATCTTCGCGGCCGCCTCTCATACGCTCAAGGACAATGCGGATTTTGTGCTCAAGGTTGTTAAAAGTGTGGAGGAAGAACAGCTAGTGAAAATCTTCATGGCCGCCTCTGATAGGCTTAAGGACAGTGCGGATTTGGTGCTCGATGTTGTTCAAAGTGTGAAGGAAGAACGCGCTAGAATGGAAATCTTCACGGCCGCCTCTGATACGCTTAAGGACAGTGCGGAATTTGTGCTCAAGGTTGTTGGAAGCGTGAAGGAAGAATACTTTAGAATGAAAATCTTCGCGGCCGCGTCTGATACGCTTAAGGACAATGCGGATTTTATGCTCGAGGTTGTTAAAAATGTGAAGGAGGAACGATTTAGAGTGGAAATCTTCACGGCCGCCTCTGATACGCTTAAGGACAGCGCGGGTTTTGTGCTCAAGGTTGTTAAAAGTGTGAAGGAAGAACGCTTTAGAGTGGAAATCTTCATGGCCGCCTCTGATAGGCTTAAGGACAGTGCGGACTTGGTGCTCGATGTTGTTCAAAGTGTGAAGGGAGAACGCTTTAGAGTGGAAATCTTCATGGCGGCCTCTGATAGGCTTAAGGACAGTGCGGACTTGGTGCTCGATGTTGTTCAAAGTGTGAAGGAAGAACGCTTTAGAGTGGAAATCTTCATGGCCGCCTCTGATAGGCTTAAGGACAGTGCGGATTTGGTGCTCGATGTTGTTCAAAGTGTGAAGGAAGAACGCACTAGAATGAAAATCTTCACGGCCGCCTCTGATACGCTTAAGGACAACGCGGATTTTGTGCTCAAGGTTGTTGAACGTGTGAAGGGAGAACGCTTGGAAGTGCTGGAAATCTTCACGGCCGCCTCTGATACGCTTAAGGACAACGCGGATTTTGTGCTCAAGGTTGTTGAAAGCGTGGAGGACGAATACTTTAGAATGAAAATCTTCGCGGCCGCCTCTGATACGCTTAAGGGCAATGCGGATTTTGTCCTCAAGATTGTTGAAAGCGTGGAGGGCGAATACTCTAGAATGGAGATCTTGGAGGGCGCGTCGCCTAGGCTCAAGGATAGCATGGATTTCATGGGTCCGTTTATAGAAAGCTTGGCGCCAGCAGATTGGGTCATTAAAAAGGCTTTTCACCTAGCTGGCGAAAGACTTCGAACTACATCAGCAGACTTCGCACTCGCTGTTCTTGACAAAGTGATGGTCGAAGCTTCGAGGCTTAACATCTTGAAAGAAGTTGTTGCCTCGTCTGCAGGAGCTTTCAAAGGCAGCAGAGAGGCCATCCTTCGTGCAATCCACAAATTCCAGTCTGGGCCGATTCGGCTAGAGGTTGCTCGCTTGCTAATTCCTGACAGTGAAACGGAAGTTGACCAGGATTTGATGATTAATGTTATTCGAAGCATGAAAAGCGATCGCGAGAAACTGGACATGTTGGAGGGAGCCCCCGCTGCTGCTCTCAGAAACAACGCGGATTTCATGCTTCAGGTCATCGAGTGCCTAGAAATTACCCTGGAACAAGACGAAGATGAGTCAGACCACGGTCAGCGGCGGGAAACGGCAGAAAAGCTTTTCAAGGCTGTGCCACAGGAACTACTGCGCAAGGATCCGCGCGTAATGGAGAAGCTGATGCAGAAAGTACCTCAGATTGAAAATTATCTTCCGGATGTGTTCTAGTACAGCAGTGTTGATTTCATGTTAGCAGCCTTGAGGAGCACGGATCTAGAGGACGAAAAACAAAAGGCCGAACTGGCTAGCTAGGCAAAAGGGAACGTCTGGGCCGGCGAGACTTTTTGTGAAACGTTCCTTGAGGAGGTAAAAGGGGAGGGCGCTAGGGTAGAGGTCATTAAGACACTGCGTCAGCGGGACCTCTTCGAGGAGAACATCAATATCAGTTTTATGCGCCGTCTCTGAGTCAAAAGTAAATCTCAAACATTGAAAAAAAATATTAATAAAGAAAAACACACACAGAATCAAATTTGCCGACGATAAAGACAGATCCGTCAATGTTGACTGCTAAAACACATGACAACAGGCGGACGCTGATGAGCGTTACCAACATAGACTGGCTGCTCCAAAGTGCTCATACATTTCAATGAGATAGAAGGTCTCAGTGTCCTGAGCGTTACCAACAAAGATTGGCTGCTCTGTGTCGGATCATAATGCTTTCGTGTAAGCAACAAATAAGAAGATGAGATCCAAAGCAGCGGGTAGATGGTGTGCGGTGTAGAACCAATTTAGCTATGTTGAAAGTAAGGCACTCCTTCCCACCTTACCTTCTTGGTCCATGGAGATACGGACCGCCAAACCTTGCCCCCTCTCCTTCAGAGGAATCCGGTACAGGTCTGATTCGCCATCGCCTTACGTAGGGTAAATAGTCTCGAGGCCGTCTCACTCTCAACAGCCACACCGTTCGTTACTATCTTGTCTTGCTGGCAGTGGAGTAGTACTGTCTAAGAAACAAATGAATGAATTTACAGCGTAGCGCTCCGGATAATATCCTCGATCTTCTGAGCCTCTCGTCTGGCAGCAGTGTGACGAATGAGCAAGAGTTCATGCTTGGAGTTGCAAAGAAGCTGTTGCCAGATGCTTGCGTCGAGGCAAGGAATTCCGTCCTACTGTTCTCATTTTTCCAAGCTGTGCCCGACGCCTTGAGGAGGGACGAGGACTTCGTGCTCGGACTCCTTCACGTGATGAGGAAAGGAGCTAAACACAATCAAGATGCTGAAGCATTTGTGATCAATACTTTTCTCGGGTTGGTACTTACAGGGAACCCCTTGGAAAACGACGTGGATTTTATGCTAAGACTCCTCGAAGAATATAAAGGAGCCAGACACTCCGACTCCCACTTCTTTCCTCTCTTCCAGACAATTCTTTGTTATGCAGCAGAAAGTACGAAGGGTAGCGCGAGGACCAAGACATTCTGGCTAGCCGCGCTTGAGAAAATTACAGACGAAAACCTTCCTGGAGGCCCTCCCATGTGGTGCATGCATCTTTTAGTAGACTTTTATGACGACATCGACGTCATGCGCGGAGTGCTTCAGAAGACCAGGCCTGAACAAGTTGTCGCTGTTGTCGCTCAGCATGCGGGGGATACGGTAAAGGGAAATCGGGCTTGCATCCAGGAAGCGGTTCGCAAGGTCAAAACCTTGAGGACTAAGCAGCCAGAGGAGACCGTCAAGAGCTGGATAGACGCTCTTCGGGCGGTCGTGTCGACAGATTTGAAAAAAGACGCGGCCCTCTGGAATTAATGTCCTCGATGGTTTTAGAACTAAACATAGAATTTAATGAAGATCATTGCTGAAACGAGAGAACCAGTCGTGATCCGATTTTTCCTAGCCCTAGAAGACATGAGATACATGGCGATGACTCTAAGACAGTTGGGCTCCAAGGCGGGTCCACTCGGTTCTTCAAAAATAGTATACATAGTGTTGCTTCCAAAGTAAACAAGTCAGGGCGTGGTCATCTTTCCTTCGAAAGATGAGAGTGATGGTCACCTTTGTTTCTCAGTCACTTAAATTGTCCATATCTGTGTGTGAATGAGTGTGATTTATTTTTCTGTGTGTGAAGAGGCGACCACTAGCACCAGCTAGATTTATTCGTTGTGTCGTTATTTGTGAAACTGTATCTCTTCATCACGACAAGAACGCCATAAGTTCTTCTGTCCTTCCCATAATTTCCATTATTTTCTTTTGAACTCACTGGTGTTCTTCTCTTTTGTCCTGGAGGTTTCCGCACAGCTATTACTGCTTGCAACTCTGGCGTTTCCTTCACGATCTGTACCAGAAGTGTCCACAGCTCACGCGATGCCTACGGAGAAACAGGTCATCGACGCGAGGTACCGACGGAAAAACAGGTCCTCCGCGATAACGGGCACTAGTGGCGCTCCTCCTAATCCATCTCGGGAGCCATCTTGGTCTTCATCTTCAAGGGGAGAGGAAGAGGCGACCACTAGCACCAGCATCCAGCCAGGGTCAAAAGACAGGAAGAGGGAAAGTCGAGCTACAACAAGCTATAGTACTAGAAGTAAGAGACCAGCACGACCACGACGACTTCTAGTACGTAGCAAGGTGGATCCCCCCTCCTTCTATTCTATCTTGGCCACGACTAGAATCTAGCAAGAACCTTCTGCAAGAAACTAAACAGAGTCTTGATCTACTCCTGCAAAAAACCAAAAAAAAAACAAAATGGAAGCCACTCGTATGGAAACCAGTCGGATGCGGGCCACCCGTGTGAACTCCGGAATTTTCTATAGTCGTTACGATGGGCATCCACCGGATGACTTGAGACGGATAATCAGGCATCTTCGGAACGGAAATGCAGAAAAATCGATATTTTTTGCAGGTGATATTAAGGCATTATCCACCGCATGAAGATTAAAAAGATTGAGTAGGATACCTTATGGTCCATGATATATGGACCATGAAGTAGCAGATTAAGTACGCTACCCAAGCGGTGCCAGCCGATCCCCCTTCAAGTGGCATTCTCAGCAAGCATTCTGAGCACACCGCATGAAGATTAGGTAGCCTACCTCAACAGCCACCGCATAAAGTAGGCCTCTACCTCAAGAGGTCTCTGCCGTTGTGTTAAGCAGCTGCAGCATTGAGTAGATTGATTTTCAGCGGCACCAGCGAAAAATCCTTGCTTATTCTTGTCCCAGCAGCAGGGTTTTCAGCGGTTGTGCCAATTGATGCCCTTCCTTCTATGCTGCTTAGAACTCGTCCTTGTCCACCCCTTGCTGGTAGGCATAGTACAAGTGATATTTCTAGTTGGGACAGCAACCTGTTGACGATATGATTCTTCTCGTATGAGTAACGATTTTTGAAAAAGATGCAACGACCACCACGAGGGATAAACTAAGTTTTTTTGAATCATTACATCTCGAGTATGCTTGTTTGCGCATGTTGCGGTCCACTGCTAAGCCCTGAATCATGGGGGGGGGCTCGATGTGCAGGGTCCCCAACGAGTGTGCATGATGCGCTCCACTATGCATCTAACGCTAGTTCTCTCGACAACAAATTTTGGTTTTCTTCGACTGCGCCAGCTCTCAATGGATACGAGGATATTTTATCACCGCCATTGTTGATGAAGCAGGACTTTTCATATTGGGTAAATTACTTTTTGAGGGAACACCACCTGGAAAAGCTAGAGGACCAGGCTGCCAAAACGACGGTACAGCAAGAACTAGAGGTCGTGGATGTAAACCAGGCTGCTAAGACGACGCTACAAGGAGGGTCCGAAGAGCAGCTGCAGATGGATGCTAATCAAGAGCGAGATATTAATACACTACAGATGAATGCTCAAGATCACAGACAAATCGTGGATGACACTCAGTCTCAACAGCCTCCAATCGTATGCGTCAACACGGCAGAGGAAGCAAGCTCTTTGAACTCCAGAGCCTGTTGGTGTACTGGGAATTTGGGTGTTGCGGTAATGGGCGATTGCCTGACGAAAAACGACATACTATGCGTATCCGTGGGTGGGAACGACATTGCACTAGCGCCTTTTCTGCTCACAGCGGTGAATCTATTACTGTTAAGGCTTGATTCATCGGGAATCCATCATCTTTGGAACCCTTTAGAAGCATCTTCTTGGTGCACCCCTCTATGAGAAAAACACAAACAGACTCAAGATGATGTTGATGTTGATGATTTTCAAGATGGATTTTGGGAAGATCCTAATACTGAAATTGCCAGATGTACGCCTAAGAAATGTTTGACCGATTGCGCTTGTGTGCACATTCTATCCGGCAAGTTTTTTATTAGGCGACTATCTAAAAGTATCGACTACTTATAGGACCAGACATAGAAGTAGTACCTTTCGCAATGTTCGATGTGCTAGATGGAAAAACGAGTTCCGACTATGTGGCTCGCGTAGAGCCTTCCGAACAAGGAGCACGGAAACTTGCACAGGCTTTAGTGAAGGAAGGGATTTCGCTATAGAAACAAGAAGGAGGTGGAGGTCGAAATGGAAAGAAATGTCTCTGGGCGGGACTAATGATATTGATGAAGGAACAGAACTTGTAAAGAAATGATGAAACAGGAAACTCATCGGAGAACAAGAGTTATGAACAGGCTGGATTGATGTACTTTATAGTAGAATGAAGACTCGTCACAACCTCCACAACCACAGTTGTTAAGTAAACCTTGGGATCTGCAATTCGAAATGAAGCGGCTACTTGTATGTTGTGCCTTGATGTCACTTCTCACGTTGGTGTGCTTTGTTCTTGGATGGCAGGGACACAGACACACAGTCCCGAAGTCTCTCGTGTCGTGGCGCACTCTGTACTGGCGGCGCTTGCTCTTCTCCGGCTACTATTCACGATTTGACGCGAGTTGAAGATGAAAGAATGACAGACGAGTTGAAGATTTCATTTTCTTTCCTGACGAAGGAAATACGTAAAATAAGTAGCACCAGTGAAAAATGATGCTAAGAAGTAGAAGAAGAAGAAGAAAAAGAGTGTCCTCGTCTATGCTACAACTTCTACTGTGTCGTCGTGGTCGTCGCTTGCTATCTTACTTCTCGAGTGCGCTTGCTTCTGCCTGTTTGACATTAGTTGGCGTGTGTGGTGAGGTGGAACAAGTAGATCACGCAATGCCGCTACTAGAAGAGCCCCATGTCCCACATTTCGACAAGAATCTCGCTGAAGCCTTAACAAAATGCTGGAGTCGCCTGTCTATACCCGACAGAGAAGAGCATGCTGAACAACCAGACGCTCATTTCTTCTCGTGGATTGCAGAGTGCTTACTCGATTATGACCAAGATAGAGTAGGCGGCCACGACGAAGAAGTCAAACCACAAACACAATCAGAACAAGTCACACAAGAATCAGTATCAGACATTATCATTAAAGAGGAAGAGCCATTCGCCTCAGGCATAGATCGGCATGAGCACTTAGAGTATCTAGTATTGAATTCCGCAGTTGGGGGTCGAGGCGAATTGGAAAAGACAGCACAGAACCTAAAACTATTGGGACAAAGCGATAATTATTTGAACAAATTGGACATGTATCATAGTACACAACATACTTCTTCGAGTAATCTTGAACACATGATGCAAGAGGATGTGGATGAAGCCGTGTTTTTCAACTCGCAGTAGCCACAGAAAGTGGTGGACCTTTTCGTTGTGTACATGACAACCAATGTGTTGCACGCAAGGGCAACGTACTTATGTTGACCACTATGATGTGGCACGTCGCACAGACTTCTCTGCCATTCGTTTCTTGTAGATTCCCGAATTTCTCTCTACTAGAGCAGCGTTCCCGTTCTCAAGAGAAGAAGTCATGATCTGCATTTTTTCTGATTGTGTGTCAGACAACGTCTTCAATGAATCTGTAGTTGTGAGAGCGAGAAAAAGAATCCTCGATCTTGATTTCCATTTCTGTGATAGAATGAGGTCTCGAACCGACGATCTTAAGCTAAGAGTGAGGTCTCGAACCTTGAGAGAACAGGGGAAAACGAAGGGAAAGGGGAGAGCTTTGAAGGGAGTCTCTTCCGTTCAGAGTCATGATGGCCAGTGAATGCGGAGCTTTAAGTCTAGTATCTGTGCACAATGTTCTCTTTTGCTGAGTTTCTCATCTGTTACTGAGTGAATTGCATCATGATCTCGGATACTATCAAAAACGCCATGAAGGTTAAAGTCTTAGAAGTTGAAATTTTGTATGCCTGATAAAAGTTGTAGTCGCTAACAATAACCTACGTCTACTTAATGTCCTTGAGTCAACATCAACAACTTCTTTCTTGAGAGCAAAAAAATGAAGATGAGACCCTTTGCATTTCCTTCTCGACTTTCGCTCCCTTCAGGCCAGAGGCTCGCAAGGAGCACCTCACCACGACCACCGCACTTGTCTAGTCCTTTTGTGAAGAGCCCTTTCGTGCAGTTCAGGCTCTTAGGTATCAAGCTAGTTGAATGGTGGATTTCCATATCATGTGTGTGTCGTCTTTCTTCGCTTCCTCGAGTTCTTCATGTTGACAATTACTGGCGGAGGCCATGCGGATCATTGATGTTTCATCAACAACTACATGGTAGTGGTGCAACATGTCAAAGACGCCTACTGGATCATGAGCATGAAATCACGAAGAACCATGATACCGCACTCTTAGTGGATGCGGTAAAGATGTATTCTAGCATGGACGAGTATGTGGACGACGAGAGGAGCGTCAATGTCGCCCAATTACGAGTTGTGGATGAAGAACAACATGGAGGTGTTCTTGAAACTACGAATCTGCACGTTGTTGATCAAGCAAGAATAGAAGAAGCACGACCTCGTCGTAATAATCCTTCTGTGTGCTCTCCTGAACCAAATCTAGGCTCCGGGATTCACGCGGTGTCTCCCGGATCTTCAAATACTTTGCGAGCGAGTCTGATCAGTTGGAATGTGTTGTTTAGCAGAGTCTTGGATTGTGAAGATCCGACCACGACGATAGAGGATGCGGACACAGGAGAGCTTGTTGGCTACTACCACGGCATCTACAAGCATAAAATCGCTGATTTTGATGACATCTTGGCCTCCATTCCTCCCTCTTGCATGCGAAGCAAATATACAAAGCCAACAACTTCCGCTGCTGTTTCTTCCAATGGGACTACAGCAGCTGCTTCAAAGTCGATAAAGTTGCCCACTCTCCGGCCTCGCGGTACCTGTTATCGCCGAGTCTACGGAGAGCCGATGGATCCCCGTGACGTCATTTTTCTAGATGAGTTATGTACTACGAGTACAGCTGCCAATACGAGTTGTATGGCGAATACGAGTACAAGAACTACGACTACGAGTACGGCCTCCAATGGTTGCGCCAGTGCCATATTAGGAGCGAATAGTGGCAATGGCAAGATTCCTAAGATGGAGTCTCCAATTTCTAGCTTTGCCGAATGCTTTGACGTTTTTTCCGGCAGCAATGTAAAAAACCCTGCTCCTGGTCCTGGCAAGAAAACTAGTGAAGATAGTAGTAGGAGGTTCGCGAACGCTTTCGAAATTTTCTCCGAAGAAGTGCGGTTTCAGCGTGTAGTGAACCTTTTGCGCGAAGAAATTTCTAATTGCCTGGAGGGCAGAAGTTTTAGTAGTAAGCAACAAGTAGACCACCTTGTTCAGGGTAGAAGTGCAGCGTCTTCTGCGTGCACCTCTTCATTTTCCCCACAAGCACGACGAGATCAAGCACGAGAGGAACCACAAGTAGTACCACAACAACATGATAAGCCAAAGAGCAGGACGTCGTTCTCGTTTCCCATCATCTGCTTGCAGGAGGTCTCGGATAAATGGCTCGCCAAGTTGGAGAAGGGTTTGTTCAGAGAGTTAGATTTTGCAGTGCATTCAGGTATCGGAACGACACCAGGGAGAACGTATCACGGTGTCGTGACTGCTTACCCGAAGAAGATTCAGACTGGACATGATGAAGAAAGTGGAAGTGCAAGCCCTTGTTCAGAGGTAGAAGTACAAGTAGTGCAGAAGGAGGTAGCTTTACCTGTGCCACGGAGTAAGCGTTTATTGCGGACGGTTGAGGATGTTAAAGAGCGGTGTAGGCGAATGCAGAAACAAGCAAAGGAAAACAAGCTTAAAACTTCGTTTACTTTCCCTGGCCGTGGAGGTAGTGGCAGTACCTCTACTTTCTTGAAAGTCCCTGGCGGCCAACACGACCATCAACTACAGACTGAACATCAAGGTCGTAATATTCTTGGATTTGCGGTTCCTTCAACACCACCAAGCAAGAAAAGATGCACGACGCCCACAACTGTTCTTAGCAAGGCGACCACCACGGAGAATTCTCCAAGTAGAACTACCACAACAAGAACTTCCTGCTCAAGATCAAGAACAGCACCTCTTCAAGTTTCATCTAGCTCTACTCCCTTTTCGACTTCTTGCTCACCACATTCATGCAGCTCGATGGAGGAGGAAGACGAGCCTTCGTTCCAGTCTTCTAGAAACAGTAAAGTTTCCGTGTCCTCTTCTCGAAACAGCATTCCCGCAACGAGAGCCGGATGGAATGATGACGATATCAGAGACGTATTGAACGACTTGCAAGCTGGATCTGCACAATCTCCCTATGTATTTCTGGAATTGAAGTTTAACAAGAAACTAAGCAGCGATATTATTTATAGTACAAGAAGTCGTCCAACACGAGCACCAAGAACTACAGGAGAGGATACTACAACGGGAAAGACAAACGGTGCTGGTGGAAACAAAGAAGCAACGAAACGAGAAGAGGCTTCATCAACCCTGAGACTGACGAATTGGCATTCCCCACAACAAATCTTTTGGAAGACAAAAAGCGGGAACCCAATTGGAGCGCTCTTACAGACTTTGCACATGGTTACTTTTTTGGAGAGTCTAGAAAATTTCGTCAGTGAGTCCAAGAAGCGAGACGAGGACCATGAAGAAGATCATTTGTTGAAGAGGAGGCGAGTAGATCTCGAAGATGATCAGTCCCAGTCATCATGCAGGAGCCTCCAGGCTATTGACACCCCTCTCGGCGCGCTCCAGGACGATAGCGATATTAACCCACCACCACCACCTCTTGCTCTCGTAGCAGATTGGAACGCCAATGTAGGAAGCCCAGCATTCGCTTTGCTCTTAAACGGAGGCAACCTCGACGATCCGGGTGTGACGGAACATTTCGGGACTGGTTGTATGTGTCCCCAGATGTTTTTGCAGGAACTAGTTGTACCTGCGACGTCTTCAGAGCCAACTACAGGAGAGTCAGAAACTTCTAAGAACCTCAACATACCAGGTGTCATTGATGTAGAGTCGGAAACTAAGGGGAAGGTGAAGAACCTAATCTTGAAGAAAAACCTTCCGAAGCACAGCTACCAGGAGGTCCATGGATCGAAGCCGGAGATTACGACGTTTACACAGTCTTTCCAAGGAGCTTTGGATCATATTCTTGTGGGTGGAGCGAAAATCGAAGATGCGAGACGTATGCCAAAGATGGATGAAGTTTGTGAACGGACGAGGCATGAGAACGAGCCAGATGAAAATATTGGAGGAAAGAGACCTGCGGCGCACTCCTACACAACGCAGAGGACTTCAACATCACAATGCTGGACAGAGAATCTGCTCTCTATAAATGACCCAAATGATCATCTCAAAAGGAGCAAACAGGACTGCTCTACTGGAGGCGTTTTTGAGGATACTGGTGGCGGACTCCCATCATTGGCATATCCTAGTGACCATATACTCCAGCGCACAGATATTTTGCTACCTCTGGGCTAGGTGGGGATTCACGATGTTGAATCTCGATACTATAAGTGTGAAGCTACAAATCCCGAACTCCTCCCATAGCCATCATGATGATATCTACATCTGCTGGGAGTAGCTCCTGACCAAACAGTACTTCTCAAGCGACCATATTGTATATAGCGCTAGTAAGCTCTCGCTCTGATCATGATGTTTGTTCAAACGGAATATTTGTGCAGTGATTGAATCGGTTCGCTAGTACCCTGAAGGTCATCTCAAAATCGAAAACCTTCGTGATATGTCGAGCAGTATCGGCTTCTTGATATTGAATCGGATTCTTTGATCGTAACATCAGAGTCGGTCGAGGTGAAGTCGATCAGATTTGCTCGGCCCTCTTTCCTCGTAGCACGATTTGCTGGAGAAGAAGACGACCACTGCGTCAACGGAGAAGTGACGAGAGTATTGTATTTGAGCACTCTGCAAAGAGCTTGAAGAGGTGACAACTTACGGCGTACTTAATACGCGGTTTCGTCTTGGAAGTTTGTTGTTGCACTTGCATGTCCAACTACAGGTCAACAATAGCAGAAACTCGAAAGAAATACTACGCCCTTAAGCAAAAAATACTCCCAAACTCAAAAAAGGTAAAACACATCACAAATTATATTTTTAGGAATCTTCATAAAATGCTGCATCAGACGACGACCTCGACCACCTCCTCCTCACTTGGAGGCACGACAACGAAGTTGCCACGAATCTTCAACCAGCAGCACAACTCGCACTCCTCGTATGTCGATGCCGACGATGCTGGTGGTGGTGGAGGAGGTGGTGGTGGTGCATGTTACGATACCCGAAACAAGCTTCACTGTAGGGGAACAAAGGATAAAGAGGATCAACGTAGGAAGAGGAACACGCCTCCGCCACCGCCGTGTCCGCAGCCGTGCTTTGCCCCGACGCCGGAAGGTCAACAATGTGGCGGACAACTTGAACACGAGGACGGCGCAGGAGTATTAGGATTAGTATACCAACAAGCAGCTGGAGGTGAATTTCTTCAATTCCTTCCACCATCCTCAGAATGTCAAGACTTACAGCCGAACAGCTACGCAACAAGTAACAACAATAAAGTGATCAACAATTCTAGTCCCGCAGCGCGCAACTTGGGAGCAACTGGAGGACCGCCGCCCTCCAGTACGACGGCTACCTCTAAAAATGGTATGCTTTTTACACCCTCAAGCAGTGGTCGCGAGCCGGACTGCGAGCGGATTACATCAGCCGACCTATTGTCCGATGACGACTCTTGTCGAATAGATGCCGACGAGCAGGGGGGGCAACTACAAGGTAAAAAGTGGCTACATGTTCATAGACAGTGATTGTGTTTTTGAATTTGATGCTGAGTTTTGTCTTCCGAAATCGAATTTGAATCTGAAAAATCGAATTTCAAATTCAGGCTACAACAACGCTCGGTCTGACGCTATCTGCGGCGTTGACGTGCCGCTTTTTGCAGCCAGTGACCCTGCAGAGCTTCCGGCCACTTCGGCTTTCATTACTCCATCGGCTACTGTATCATGTGGAGAACAACTACAGCTACCTAGTGAACAAGAAAACAGAGAAAAAACGTTATGCACGCGTCGTGGTCGCGAGCTCACAACTTGTGGGGGATTTCATGCGCCCTTGACATCATCAACCGGAACGTTGATGACAAAAAGTAAGCTTCATAACAAAAAGAGTAGAACAAGCAATAGTAATCCTGCTCATTCTCCAGTTCAACATGATCAGGTTCAGGTTCCGGCAACAGGACCACCAGGTCCAGGAGTAGTCGTGTCAAATGAGGTAGTTGTACAAGGTCAAGCTCAAGGGGTTTTTGCCCGTAGGCAGACGTCGGACATGAGGGCGCAACTTCGTGGACGGGCTCCGCACCCTTCAGAAACGAAACTGCTACAGCCTACAGCACGACGTAGAAAATTGACCAGACATCGTAGCTCGATTAGTCCGGTGAAGCTGAATCGTGGGGCGCCGGGGTCTCTGAAGGCACGAAAAAACAAGGGAAACAAGCTGCTGCCGCCGTTGTCGCGCACTGCGACCTCTACAGGTAAAAATAGCAACACTTTTGGCAGCACAAGCACTAAACTACAGACCGCAACCACGGCATTGCAACCGTCAGGCTCATGTTCTTCGATAAGGCAAGCAGGATCTCTTCAACATGCGGAGAGAGCCGATCACGAGGTCCGCACATACTTGAAGCAGTTCAATTTGCATTGTTATTCGAAGAAGATGTATGACCATCGCATCGAAACTTTGCGGGACCTGGCGAGCTGGGATCCGGAATCTTTGATGCTCCAACTGAAAGTCTATGCAGGCCATCGCCAGAGGATGCTACGCGCCTTGACTCAACTACAACTGCAACCATCTTCACAAGGTGGACATTCACTTCTACCGCAAGAAAAGCAGGAAGTACAATTAAGGCTCAACCATTTCAGTGGTCACCATTTAGATTGGAGTCACTGAGATCGAAGAGGAGGCCCCTTGAGAGAACAGGGAAAAACGAAGGGAAAAGGGGAGAGCTTTGAAGGTGGCCTCTTCCGTTCAGCGTCAGTGACCACTGACTGCTGACCTTTAATGCAAGTAGTTACTCGGAGTCACTCGTATGGTTCAGTCGGCAAAGTTGGTGGCACCAATTATGGGGGTTCATCCTCTTTACCGCATTCAGTGAAGAAGCCTCAGCCGGTTGCTGAGGGACCTGCGAGTAACAGCACAACGATGACGAGCAACACAACGACAGGCGACAGATCCTTCGATGAAGACGACGAACTTTTTCATTGTGGTGTGGGTCCTCAGGGCGTGCTAGTAGTGGGGCAAGAAGAGAGCTACCTCAATTGTAATTCTTCATCTAGGACGAGCCACCACGTGAACATGATGAATCATCAACACGGTCACGGACCGCGAGGCGACCACCAACCACAACTGCAGCCTCATCAAAACACTGTCCTCACGATGAATCACGATATACAACATCAAGTTCATCAAGAAGATCAAGTTCATCAGGATAATTATTTGCAGGAGATGGCAGCAAGAGTCGAACGTTTGGAACATCAAAAAGGTAGTTTATTGTCAATTGTGGACAACCGCGATAGGCTAATTCGAGTCCTCGAGGAAGAAAACGCAGATTTTCGGAGTGCACTTTTGATGCATCGTAACGAATCTACTATGGTGCAACACGCTGGAGGCATCGCGATGAACCATGGTTCTGCTTGCCCTGTGCAGAATCAGCAGCAAATGTTGCATTACGCGAATGCGCTGCATCCCCAGCAGATGCAGATGTATCCGACTGCTCCTGCACAGCAGCTTTCGCCGCTCCCACAGCACAGCCCGCACATGCTAATGTCGCCCATCACAACAACAGGCGCAGTAGGGATGCCTCAGCACCAGGCAATGGCGCCCATACTGCAGTATCCACCTCCAGCGGCACAACATCACCAGCAGACGTTGTATGCTGGCCCAATGCATTTACAGGCTGGAGTGCAGAACCAGCAGGGCTTGCATCTCGCACCCCAGGTGCCGCCGCATGCTCACTACAGCGCGCACCCTCTTCCTAACGGTTTTGGTGATGTACCGCAACTTGCGCCACATGTCCAACCTCAACCAGGGGTCTGGACTCAATTCGAGCGACATCAGCAGCAACCTGCTCCGGTTGTTGAACTACAGCAATTCGATAATATGCGACCTCCGCATCTCTCACGACACCCTGCTCAGCAGGCGCATCATACTGAATTAAGAACTACTGAGTCTGATCTTGTACAGCGCGGGGAACAGCAGGAGCAGTCGCAACCTCCGACGCAACAGGAAGAGCCGAGTAGAACCACGTCTGCTGTTACTGTCATGGCTACTGAAGAAGGTAATGAAGAGCACCTCCGCAGTACGACAGCTCGACGTCGCGCGTGGTCGGTTCACGGAGCTACAACTTCTACATTATCACTTCTATCCGACATTTTACAGTCTAAGCTGCGTTCAACTCGCACAGCAACAAGGCGTTTCTCGAGGCGTCGGTCGCGTACAAATTCTTCCACGGCTAGTAACTTGAACAACATCTTCTACGAGCACAAGAACAACTCCTTGACATTTTCCTCCATTGGGGAAGGACAGCATCTTCGTACCGCAGATATTAAGGAAAACATGATGAATGGCGCTGCAGTAAGTTCTGTGAGGACTAGTCGAAATAGCAAGGTTCTGCTGTCATCCAGGAGAGCCAGGAGCTGCCCACCTCCTCCAACATCTTCATGTCTCAACAATAGTACTAGGACCGTCGACGAGCAAGAGCTTGTGTCCGGCCTCTGTGCTGCTTTCGCGAAAGCTATTCTAAGAACATCACTGATGCAAACAGAAAGACCGGTAGTGCCAGAGCTTCTAGATGAAACAGCATTAAAGAGGAGCACAATAAAGTATATTGATCAGGCGCAGGAACAGGAAGTAGTAGAGCAAAAAGAGGTTTTAAAGAATAAGAGGACGAAAGACAAAGAGACCGACCTGCTTGACAGCAAACCCAAACTGGTCTCGCTTGAGCATGCTGTGCATTGTCTTGACCTGTGCCAGATTTTCTTGCAGCCAGGAGTTTCCGAAGAGCTGCGCAGACGGAAGATGTGTGGAGTCGTACTGTCAAAAGAAGTACTAAATGAACATCTTCATCAAGATCATCAAGATGATGTGGAAGTTACTTCTTCAAGAATTACAGTGTCAAGACCGGGAACTACAGGTCCCAGAGGTGCTGCAATCGCAGGGATGATGCCAGCAAGGTACGCAGCAAACTACAAGAACAACGTGCAAACTAATAGATACTCTAGTTCGATGAAGCGAGTTGGACTCGATTTGCACGCCTCGTTGTGGCTTGAAGGGCCAACGCCGGGCACTATGGCGTCCGCCTCTCCTGTGTGGCAGGAGCAGGACCAAGTAGAAAAGAGTTTCGAACAGGTCCAGACTTCTCTTGAGGAGAATAATATGAGAGTGGGACGAGTACAACAAGGACAAGAACATCTGAATCAGTTAGAAGTTCCACGCTCCGCTCTTCGAGGTATCAGTGCAAAGATGAAGATCTTAGATGAACTACCGAACCAAGCTAGTTGTGATCGTTGGTCGAGAATTTTAGGAGTGGGGGAGAAGGACAAGGAAAAGGAAAACAGTAGAAAAAGCCAAAAGATCACTAGTACAACATGTGCCACTACATCGGGAGTAGTACAACTACTAGATGAAGAAAGTAATCATCAACTACGCCATCTCTGGTTGAACCAGGTAGTAACCACATCCTTCAACAACAGTAGTTTTCCGACTATGGGTAATGTCGCTAATGCTATTAGCAAGCTACTCGAATTCGAACATGAGAAAGTTGGTAGTATTAAGGCCTCACTTGTTACCTCATCCATCTTCTTGCTTTACCTCATCTGCAGAGGCTGTTCTCAAGTAGAAAATAGTGGACACAGGAGATGAGGCAAAAGATGATGGAATATTTAGAAGTATAGAGAAGTGATAGATTGTTTCTTCTAATAGTACTAGCACTAGCTACTTGTGGACTGTAGCGTCGATGTGCATGCAAAGTCTAGTGCTGTTGAGGCAGTATCAACAACGAACAGGCTTAGCAGTGACACCGGATAACTGGGAACAATTGCTGAAAACGACAGTACGCCTGGCTGCTTCTACTACTGTGGTCTCTACTGCTGCTGCTGCTGCTGCTGTTGGTCCTTCAACCTCGTCTGCTGTTGGTCCTTCAAGTTCAAGCTCTTCAACCTCGTCAACGAGGAAAGTAGACCCAACAGAATCCACGTTTTCGACTTTTCGTTCGACGATGTTGGCTGATGATGATAGTGAGGAAGAGGCAGCTCGGATCGAATTGCTTTCTTCGCTAACGGGACGAAGCATTTTTGCGAGCTCATCTGAGACGATGAATTTTACACGTCGTAAAGCAAGTCAAATTGCCACTGCGTTCTTCGACTTGGTGGGGTACATGTAGGAAGCTATCTGTAATACTAGTTCGCTGGTTCTCTATGATAAGTAATTCGTGAGCTTCGTTTTCTTAATATGTACTTGTTAATACTGTTAGTACTTTCTACTGTTCTTCATCTTGATAATGCTAGTACTTATAATACTGCCAGGTATTCGATTTTTCATCACATATTTGATACCTCGTACTCAGTTCTTATGAATGTCGAAATTCAAAAATGAATAATTATAGATATTGATTACAAAAAATGAACAGGACGTCATGGCAGCACGACGTGCAAGTACATGAGTGAGAATTTGAACAGCAGAATTTTCTTTCTATTTATTATCGGATGTTAAATAGTTAAATAATGCCCACCCTTCTTGGTGAGGAAATACTAGTACTTCTAGGACTACTAGTTACAGACCTACGGTGCATAATTATCATGGTTCCTCTTGATTCGTAAACGCACAGTAGATTTTATTCAAGAGCTACAGGCACTTCCAACATTTTTGAAAATTGTAGTTCATTGAACTTTTTTTCACTATTTTTATTTAATGACACGACGCAAGTGAGAAGCAGAACTATTTTAATTTTCTTATTCAACAACAGGTGCAGGTAGTGAGAGTGACAGAAATGATGAATGTACGAGTATTTTACAACGCGGCTACGGCTACGGCTAGATTATGATTCATCAGGGTTAATTTGTCAGGCTAATATTGGTATTGCATTGAATGAACTCGGTTCTTCTCATCTATCTGTTTCGGATTTTTGCAGATTCATCCTTTCAAAATGCCCTCCATCTTGTTCTTTTTCTTCTTCGGCGAATCATGTAAGTGTACTATTAGAAAAGTTTGTTCCCGTGTCTAGATGCGTGGCTGCGTTGGAGACTCATGAATGAATGAATGTTCTTCACCGTATCAGAATCTTAAATGGACGACGCCACTTGATTGATTGATTGCCACACCTTCAAGTGCTGGAAGGGAAAGATCAACATGAAAGATGAGTACTGGAGGTACTAATGCTCGTTTGATTCAAATCATTTTTCAGTTATTAGTTTCCTTCAATCATCACATCTAGTTGTATCAGTTTCCTCCGGTAGCCTATCTGTATTTATTCTTCGCTCTTTCCTTGTTGTATCCCGCGTTTTTTTTATTTGTTGTCTGTGAAATGCAATGCTTCCTAAGCCCAGCAATCCTGGAGCTATGGGGTACAAAAAAAAACATCGCAAGCCCGAGAACTCTTATAATTCTAATTCTTCCACATCCACCCCCAACGAATCTTCCCCTTTTTTTTACCTCAAGTCATTGTTGATGACAAGCTTTTATAGTGAATGAAGACGAACAACAACAAGCAACAGCAACAAGAAGTTGTGAGCAGTCCTTTTTCTCAGCACCAAAAATGCAATCAACATATGACACAGAACAATGAGCCGATGAAGACCACGAAATGCGTGATCCACGAAATTCGTCGTGGTCCACGAGAATGTTGTTGTGCTACGTGCCAGTCCACCAATTGAAAACAAGCACTTGAGCGCAATTGAAAACAAGGAGACTTTTTCTGAAGTCTCCAAATCCAAATCCAAATCGATGCAACATGACATGGCTTAAGAGTCACCAACTTCATCTGCGAAAAGAAGATCGTGCATCAAATCCATGCCAAGACTCAAAAATTGTCAATATATCTTGGCTGAGAATTTGGATCAATTCAGTGACCTGCATGAGGCTCATCAATCTTCTATAGAATGAATGACCGAATGAATGAATGAATGAATGAATGAATGAATGAATGAATGAATGAGTGAACTAGTGACGCCAATGAAGAGTCGTCGGATTGAAAGTGATTTATCCTTATGCTTATCCACTAGCCCCCCATGGTGTGGTTCCCCAGGGTGAGGATGCGATGGGAACCCGGGACACTCGCTAGACGAAGCACACACATGGACACTCTTCAGCAGGGGGCAGATTGGACAAGAAGGCTCAGAAATGTTTGCGAGCACGATGGTCGACAATAAAAGCATTACATCCGAGTCGAATAACAGTGTGGCGCTATTCTATGGGGTTGGGGGTGCATTAGGATGCAAATTCGCATCCTTGTTCCCTTTGTGTTGTCTTGTGCGCCATGAAATGAGATCCATCGCTGCTTGGGGGATGACGCCAAAGCAGCTTGCCTGGTTTCTTCAGTAGGGTGTCATTTGCGCGCTGCCTCGGGGCGGAGAGCCTTAGTAGCGCTTGCCGCCTGCCGCCTAAAAGGGGTGAGGGCGCCTACGGGCCTATCTTCCACTGGAAGACATAGGCAGGCGCATGCTCTTCGAGGCTGATTCGTCCCCCGGGATCCGAGGCTTCTTGAGGCCACGCGGTTTCGCGGGGGTTTGAAGGTGTAGAGCGTTGCCCGTCTGTGATTCAGGGCGCGCCTGCTTGCGTTGGCGCTGCAAGCAAGTGACGCGATTGCACTGGGCCGCCGCCTCGCACCATCGGGCCGCGCGAGTGCAGGGGAGGAGAGAGGAGAGCTTGGCGCATACGTTAACCCTCAGGCTTCATGCTGTAACGGTGAATCTTCATGTCCTAGCTTTCCAAGGTGAGGCTCATACCTAAGCAACTCTCAAAATTCATGTCTTGACTTGTTTCAAAGTTCATGCCCTAACTTTCAAGGTCCAGGTCTTAACTTTCAAAATTCGCGCCCTAGCTTTCAGAATTCACTCCCTTGCATGTTTGTAACTTTCAAAGTTGGCCCATGTCCTAGCTTTCAGATGTCGCGCTGCAAATCTTGGCTGGCTCCTTCCTTTTTTAAAAGTTTGGGGCTTAGGTCCCGCGACGCTTAAAGCACTCAGAATACCAAGCCGGCTATGCTAGTTTTCACCTCTAGAAGCTTTAGGGCTTTCCCATGAGACAAAATCTAACAACCTCATGCCTTAACTTTCAAAAATCATGGCCTAACTTACTCCCAAAATTCATGGCCTAACTTACTATCAAAACTCATGCCCTAACTTGCAAAATTTATGCCCCAAGTAACAAACTTGCAGCGTTCATGCCTTAACTTTCAGAATTCATGTCCTAACTTTCGAAGGAAGTTCACGCCTTATGAAACTTGCAAAAGTCACGACCACGAGCATGGGAAAGCGCTGCCAGCCTGTTTTTCCACTGTTTTCGCAGCGTTCGTCTAGCTACTTTCAAAATTCCAAGTTTTCTCTTCATTCGTTCTTCGCTGCAAGGAACGTAGAGAGCCCTCAGTTCCTCTAGCGGACCCTCAGCTAGGGCTTTTTACCTCTACATTCATCACAAGAAGGACAAGAAGGTCGTAATCTGTTTGTGGCTCTTCAGTAGCCTACCATCTCTGCTAGTTTTTTTAGTAGACCCACCCCGAACCTAAAACGTAACTAAGGACTCAAGAAATACACCAATTACCTAGTTGAGCTTGGTACTTTTAGGCTTTGTGTATTTCTAATATTTTACTAGAATCGGTGAATTCCTTTCCTAGAATCAGAGCAATCTGTTCCTAGAATCGGACAATTCCGTTCCTAGAATCGGACAATTCCGTTCCTAGAATCTGGAAGTTTTGCTCCTAGCAGACAAATCTTAGTGATTTGGTTGGGAGCGTATGGGGGGCACAAATCCTATAGATGTCGTCCTCCACGCGGGCGCCCCCTGGAATTCGTGGCGCAAGCCCGAAACCAACGGATCTGAGTATCCGATTTCTATAGGTCTCGCAGTGTTTTGCTGTCGATAACGAGCGTCTTTATGACCTCCGAGTCCAGCCCTGCGTGAACGTGAAGCTGAAGTTGACTGAGAGAAGCGGAGTGCTTTGCTGTTGATAACGAGTGCCTTTATGGCCTCCGAGTCCAGCCCTCCTGCAAGAAGTGACGACAATACTACTAGGTATATACTTCGAAAGTGGAAGCAGTTAAGTGCCTGAGTCGCTCCTTGCAGAATGCAGGCTCAGATGGAGAGCAAGAACTTCTGCAGCAGAAGCAGAAGCAGCTGCAGCAGCACCAGTAGCCACATCGAAACGAGGTAGATGCAGATCGAATGCTAATAGAGACCAGCCTCGCTCCGTCTTCGTGTTTAGATCTCGGCCTTAGCTTCGTTATGGTATCGAGGGGCGTGCAGATTCTCGCGCTTGTCGTTATCGTTCGTTAGAACCTCTTCCCATTTATTTTCGTTTTTGGTAGCTCAGTGGCAGTGCGCGAATTGCATATGCATCCCCTTGCTATCTTTTGCATTTTCGTCGAGAATCGTAATGGTAATCGTAATCGTATCGACTACGACACCGCGGCCGCCTTCGGTGTCCCTCGCTTGTTGTTGTCGCGTCGCGTCGCGTCGCGTCTAGTCGAGGTCGAGCAGTATAGTACAGTTACGGTGTGTATAATGAACCACGTACGTCGATGCGGATGCTTCTATGAGCATTATCTGTGGCTAATTCGAACGCTATTAGAGTGTAGGCCTAGCATAGACATAGAGAACGCAACCACAATCCTACCAAGTTCTTGACTAGCGCTTTTTTTTGGCAGAGAATTGGAGGTGATATACGTGTCACACCGCAGAATTGCTACCATACATGTACGCGAGCCTTTGCTGCTCTGAGTCTCTCTGGCTCTGGCTTCTGGGCATGCTTCTGCAGCTCTTGCGCTTGCTTTAGCATCATCAGCATCAACATCGACACCGACACGCACCGAAACCGACACCATGGACGCGGTCCAGTTTCGGAGCTTGCTGTGTCGCGAAATTGAAAGGGCGGAGGACGTGGCCGAGGTGTTGGAACAAGCTCGGGGGATGTACTCTCAGCATCTGAGACTGAAAGCCGAGCGAAATGGCAGAGGAGGCTGCGCGGTATTTCTTGCTTTTTGTTCAGAAGCTTATATCTATAAGAATAATTATAGGTGTTGAGTTAGAATTTCAAACAATAACAACTATGCCATCAGCGTCTTTGCGTGAGCATAGCGCTGGTAGATCATTAGCCCGCTTTCTATTTGTGTTTCTATTTCAGTTTCTATTTCGTTCCGGTCATTACTTTGCTACCTGGCTTGCTAGTCTCTGCACTATCTTCCGTTCCGTACTTAGTTCCGTTTTGTTCTCTATTTCGTTCCAGCCTCCATTTGATTTCGTTCCATGATTTGTCTCCCGTGGTTCTCTAACTCGTATGGTCTTGCCTCTATTTCGTACCAGTCTCTGCTTCGTTCTACTTATATTCTCTATTTCGTCCCACTCTATATTTTGCACTTGTTCCACTACAGTAATTGCATACTCCACAAAATCAAAAGCAAAACTCTAGGTCACTCCAGCAACGAGCACGATTTACAACAAACGAGGACGCACACCAGAGTGGCGAGGCAAATCGTGGAAGGACATCGCAGAAATCTACCTTCGTAAATTGTACTACATCGAGGACGTGAGTGGGCAAGGAAGCGACAAGGGTGCGAATGCTTTTGCTGGTTCTTTTTCATCCTGTGACAGGCGGAAGCACATCCAGCCAAAGCAGGAGGAGTCGGACGACCTGCGCCTGGCAAGCGGATTGGCAACAGAACAAATCCAGCAACCCGGAGATGATGATCCCCGAATTACGAACTATATCCGGCTTCGTTGGGGCGTCGGCGGCTGTCGAGGCACAGCGCCACAACTGGGCAAAGCGCACAATCGAGCCCTCGGCTACGATGCCAGCCGCCTGCAGGATGGGTGCCGTAGAAGATGGCTGGGCGTCAAGAAGCGAGCTAACGTCCAGGCAGCTACGTCCTCGGCCTCTTCTCGAACAGTCAGCGCTGCTGTCAGCGCTAAGAAGAGGCGCACCGGCGACGCGATGGGGATTGGGTGCAGCAGTGACAGTGACAGCGATAGGGAAGGTCCAAGCTTAGTCTTCGAAGATCAAGAGGATGACTTACTAGCAGACGACGACGATGCGCCAGCGCCTCCGCCTGGTTTGCGCAAACACAAAAGGAAGACAAGCAGCAAGAACAAGAAGAGAAGGACTGGGGAGCCTGAAGTAGTTACGCCCGCAGTTGCATCTGGGGAAGCGACATCTGGGCGCCGGCGTCCAATGGTTTCATTTTCTTCGCGCTCTGCTTCGAGCTTAGCCTTGAGTGTAGGTGCGGGAGCGGATGCAGGTGCCGCGGAAACAGAAGAAAAGCCGAAACGCCACCAGCGTCCTCGGGTTCAAAGTCGGACAAAGCAGGCCAGCACCCGAGACAAAGAATCAGCTCCAGATGTCGACGGCGACGCTGATCTCGCAAATGCTACGGATGACGAGGAAGTTCAGGACGTGCGGGCAGCTGCTGACCCGCGAAAAGTTTTGGTGGGTAGCACAGAGCTTGACATAGACAAAGTGTACGCTTATGCGTATGAGACTGCTGGCGTTACTGGAGAGGAGTGGCTGACTGACGAGCAAAAAGCTGAAGACGCGCACGCAAGGAGGGCACGGCTCCTTGAAAGGCGCAAAATGGACGCCTTCATCTACGGCGCGCAAAAACATTACGCAAGCTTGCAGCTTCTGAGGCAGCGCATCGGGAACCGCGAGGTATGCCGCAGGCTAGAGCAGGTTGCGCCGAGCCGAGACCCGGCCATCTGCAACGACCCGGGGCAAGCGGAAAACCGAGCCCCGGTGGTGGCGTTGCGGATGAGCTCGGACGGCGTCAACATCAAGGGCAGCAAGTACTCGACAGCTGAGTTCGACATGTTCATGATGGACGCCGACATGCGGGTTATCCACCGGCCAAGCATTGGGGCGCCGCTCCTCACGGAAGAGTCCACTGCGCTTACCATTCTAGACACGGTCTACGATCAAGCAGCTGAAACTGGCGTGCCGATTCTTGGGATGCCCATCATGTGTGAGGGTAAAGACGCGCACGGCAATCCGTGCCAGAAGGAGCACGAGCTGATAGTGCACCAAGTTTGGTGCTCAGATAGCGGCTCTGATGTGGTGAAGGGAGGCGGTCTTTTGGAGCATCTGAGTGACGCTTACAAGTGGTACCAAAAAACGCATGGGGCCGCAGCCGCTTCTGACTCGGGGGCAAGTGCTGCAAGCGTGAACATGGCGCAGCAGGTTGCTCGTGCTGATGGTGTTTGTGACGGCAATATGCCGGGCCGAACGCCACTCGAGGAAAGCCCTCTTAGTGAAGCTATCGAAGTGGAGCAGGCTCATGCTGGTCCCGGCAGTCTTCTGGTTGGCGGGGAGCCTCCTCTGAGACCGAGCGACGACATGGCTGACGTTTTTGATGCTGGTGAGTTGGCTGCAGCAGCACCAGGCGCAAAACCAAAGGCAGCCTGGATGAGCGTCAGTCACGAGGTCCAAGTCGAAGGCAGTGCGCTACCATCCTCACTCGGGCACGATACCGGCGCCATCCATGAGCCGAGCGATGCTGGTCAGGCATCTGGCGTTGGCGCTGCCGTAGACATTTTTGCAATTTCGTGTGAACAGGCTGGTGAACGTGGTCGCAAGCTGGACTTGGCGGGGGGACTCCGTCGAGGTGGTGACTTGCCTCTTGGTCTTGCGCACCGCAGAACGATGCGCGGAGTTGTCAGCTCTTTTTCTCGACGTGGTAACGGTATGCGCCTGGGTATGCGTCCATTCGCTTCGGCAGGAGGAGCCAGTCCTCGAAAGCCTAATGCCAAGCCCGCTCCTGCTCGCTTTGTAGGCCGTGCACCGAAATGGACGATAAGTACCGCTGTTGCTGGGCGAGGGCGCAGAGCTGACATAGACCGCAAGAAACGGCGCATCGACTACGAGGACCTGGGCGGCGAGGCGGTGCCTCTACCGGTTCCATTCCGGACAAAGTGGACGTGTGTTCGGGTAGCGTGCCAGTTGCACTTTAATTTATGGCTCAGCTTTAGGGTTGGTCACTGAGATCGAAGAGGCGACACCTTGAGAGAACAGGGGGAAATTATCTAAGGGAGAGGGGAGACCTTTGAAGGGGATCGCTTCCGTTCAGAGTCAGTGACCTGACTGCTGAGCTTTAATTAATCATATCACCTCGGGGGTTTTGCTTCTTACGCTGGGCGTGCGAGTGCTCTTGACAAGCATGTGCTTAGTTGCCCGCTTGTATTTTTGGGACGCCGTGCATGTTCCGCAGTTGGTGAAAACGCGGTGGGGATCGGCGTGCGATTCTCTTCGAGTTAAGGCCACCGCCATCCATGGCACCCGTTTCCTTTGTATCTCGTTTTACTATTCTACGAGTACCTGCCCCATTTATTCGCAATTGCTGCGGTTTTGGATTAGGTTTATTGTTATTCACGCTCGCCCTCGCATGAGAAGGAGAACGAGACACAAAGGAAAGTCCGGGCAGATGGGGACTACTCTAGCCCATTCTAATCGAGTGCTCCACTCAGAAAAGGAGCTAATTCGGACCAGGATCCGGGGCGAATTTGAGAAGAGGAGGAAGATACTTCGCAAACGCAAGCACTTCATGCGGGTCTACAAAATGGAGCAGCAGGCTGCCACGAGGGACGAATTCTGGCAGTCGATAGCTGTGGCTTTAGAGCTTCTCAACTTCATCGAATACGTGGGCGCCAGAATCAAAAAATTCGCGTCAGGTGAGCGATTGAACTTCCCGGAGCCGACGAACCACGAGAGACTGCGTGAGGGCCTGGTCACGTCGCTAATGACGACACTAGCGCACGAATCGCATAAGCGGGTGCAGCTTCTCAGTGGTTACGAGCTGCTCTCGCATCAGATTTTCCGCAGGCAGATTCAGCTTCGCTCGTGGCCGCTGCGTTGTGTCGGGCTGGTGTCGCAAGACCCGAAGGAGCGCAAGGAGTGCGCGGAAGAGCTTCTGCGGCTTCACGGGGAGGGCCGGGTCGCAGATGGGTTCTCGCTGTCGTTGTTGGAGGATTTCCCCCGGGAGCTGCAGCGAATGGCGAGTGATGACCTGAGCTCGTCGGTTAGCGCCCCGGCAAGTCGGCGGCTTCGTGCGACAATAGAACCCTGGGCGCGTGCTGCTACCCCAGCGGCGCAGAAGGTCGAGAGCCTCCACAGTACGACGCGGCAGGTCGTCGTGGAATCGCCTAACATCGGCGAGGACTTGCTTCGTGCGAGGGTCGTCGTTGGTCGCGAGCGTGCCCTTTCGTTGTTGGAGTATGCCGACCTCACCAACAGGGCGGACGGTCGCTGCGTGATGTTCGAACACGGTGCCGCGCACGAGCGTGGCCAGAGGCGCTACCTCTTCTTGAACCGGGACTTGGCCACCCTCGACGCCATCGCGCTCAAATCGCGGAAGCGATACAAACCAGCGGCACCATGCGAGAGGGGCGTCATCAGAAGGACGGAGCTGGCGATGAACACGAAGGCCATCGGCATCAGGCCCAACGATTACGGCTACTATTAATACTTCTACTACTTCTACTACCTACTACTACTACTACTACTACTCCTACTACTACTAATGCGACTAGTACTAGGGCTACGCCCTTGAGCTTGACTCTGTCAGTTTCGCCATGGCTGTAAGCTTGTCAGAAGCCTAAAGATTAACCGCGTCGGGCTTATCCCATTGCTTGACTTTCCCGGTTGCGCTTGCGTTTTGTGTTGTTCATCTTCTAGCTGTTGCCCTAGGGTTAGGCCCAGGCGTTTTCTTTGTTAAAGCTCGCGGCTGGAGTTTCTGTTTGGGTTCGGAGTGCTTCTGATTGTTTCTATTTCGTTCGCCTCTTTGTATTTCGTTCCCCTCTTTGTAT